GTCATTAAAATATTAAGTGTCGAAAATTAATAGAAATAATACATTTTTTTAAATTTATTTCTTCGATAATAAAAACACGTGACATTTTAATTCGTCAGTTGGGATTTCAATAAATTATTTTGCATAAAATATAAATAAATTACAAATATTTCGTAAATTCTCTTTACGAAATTTTAATTTACAAATATAATTTCTATAAGGTAATTCACCCTTCTCACTCTCTTTCAATCAGTCTCAATCGCTCTTTCCCTTTTCTTCGACATAAACGCTGCACATCTTCGTGACATTTCGTAAAAATTTTACCCTCATACGCCTATAGAAGTTTCACTTCAATAATAGTTTTTATTGTTACGTGAAATTGTAAAATTGCTCTTTATATTGCCTGTGGCCTTTAAAATCTTTAAATAATGAATTATTTTCAGGTGCAGAAAGCGACTTAGGTCAGTTATCTGATCTGCTAGGACATTTCGATCAGACACTTGGTAGATATAACGTAGACTCGGCATCTTGTATGCAGCGTCTTGCTTGTTCATATGTGCAACTGGCAAATGAAAATACGGTCAATGGTAATGGAACCGATTTTGATACCATGCTGGCTTCTGTTGCTAAGTAAGTACTGGTGATGTTGATCGGCAATCATTATTATTTTAATTGAAATAAATAAACAGCTTTATTTTCTGCCAATAGATAATTCATGTTTGCTGGGGCCCGTGGCAATTTTTTTTGATGGGACCCTATCAGTAAAGATCTTCAGGTTGTACTCAGTTTAATTTAAATAAACTTCGAGATATTCAGCGTACTCAACATACACGTATATGTCCCACAATAGGCCTTCTCTCTTAGGCGAGAGACTAGAGAGAATGGTTTGTAGTGCCCACGTTAGCCCAATGCGTATTGGAGACTTCACATTCATCCATAGAACATAATGACTCTTGGGCAGGGGCCCTCTTGGGTCGAGGGCCCGTGGCATTTTGTCAGTCCTCTGCCACCCTATTGTTACGTACCACTGCATATTTGAGAATAAACTTTTTACCATCATTATTTATTTACTCAAGGGAACTTAACTATTGTATTACAAAATAGTTTGACAGCTAAAAAAACGAGTTTATTTATATCTTGTATTTTTTATGTGTAACATTATTTTATACGTTCCTTATTAAGAAGCGTTGCGTGTTGAAATAAAATCTTATATCGCATCGACGCTTTATTAAATTTAATTATTTTTCCAGTAATTCACTGCTTCACCGCATGCTCGAAGGCACCTCTATTTACGAAGCGATGTCAGCCGGTCGTTCATTGGAAACGGACTGCCACCAGCGGTATTCAAAATGTAGACTTGATAAGAACACAGTCGTCAAAATCATCACGCAAATGATACCAACCTAGTATCAACCATATTTAAATAAATGTTGTTCAATTATAACGTTTTTTAGTTCACAGATTGTTGTTGCAATTTATTTTTAACTCAATACCTACTCTTGTTATTCCATGTTTATCAGATCATGAAGTCTCTGATTGAAATCCCAAAAAATATACTGAGACTATTATATTATAATATACGAAAAAGATAAATTTTGTAAAAGATAAAAATTAAAAACCAAACTTGGTTTTTTGAATTTTCACATAACTTTTGAGGTTATGTGAAAAATGTGTAAAAACAAAAGTTTTAGATCTTTTTATTATCTACAACTTTGCCATTTGACTTTTTTCCATAGGACTTTAAGTTTTGCCGGAAATCGAGATAAACCATTTTTGACCTTTAAAACTCCCCCCCTTCCCTTTCCCGACCTCAGATCGCCCGTAAATTATTTTTCGTTTAATTTTTATAATATTCTCCTCTCTTTCCAATAGGTTACATCCTACTATTATTTTTTTTTATTTTTTTTTTTTTTGAGGCTTCTACCGACTCGAGGAAAATCAAAACCTGAAAAAATACGATACATACTCTATCAGTATCATATGTAGTATGCTAAACGCTGTGTGATTTTTTATTTAAAGGGTAATAGTTTAGCTCACGTAGTCACTCAAATGTGGGAAACAAAATCGAATAAAAAACAACGTACAAATTTAACAATATATTATGTCAATCAAACCCTATCTACAATATTGTTCTGATATGCTCATCAACTAATACAACCTTATTGCTCTCTAAATACCTTCATATTTAATGTACTAATGTAAGCACCAAAGCTGTTTTGAAATACCTTTCTAGTTATCCAAATTCGTGGCGCCACTTTTCCCTCGACGTGGATTTACTAACACTAGCGTTATCTAACGTACTATAAGCGTTAATAAAGTTTTGTCACTTTCATTTTCAAGAAGAGTGTTAAGGACAAAATATTTAATTAGTCACTTTTTGAAGACCCTTTATTGAATACTTTAGACAGGGCCTTTTAGTTTTCAAAAGAGTCGCGGGTTTAGGTGAACAAGTAATATTTGATAGCCTTGCGTTATTTCAATGTAATTAAATACGCACGGCTTTTTGAAGTACCCATATTGCAATTTTCACCAGACCATACTTTAATTTCGAACAAAAGTGTCGACTTTCCATGATAGTGCTACCTTTTTGTTACATAATATTTAACTGCCAGTCATTTGGTGTAAACTTGATAAGTAACATTTGATAGCCTTGCGTTATTTTTTTATTCAAAACCTTTAAACCTTAAAAAAATATATACATGCGAAAATTTTTAATTAGCAGCCGGTAAACATGATGTATGCGTAATTCATGATTTTATCTATTGCAATCGATAGGGATTCAATTATAATTATGTTGTTCTGTTAGTTGTAATGTTGTTGTAATAATATCTCGTTAATGGTAAAAAAACTAAAACTGTAGGTTCCATAAGCTTGCTGTAAGTAAACGAATGAAAAATCACACGCCGCAGATGCTGTAAGTAGCGTTAAGTTTTTAAATGGGAAGAGCGTATTTTTGTAAAAATAGAGTTTCTTGCTGTAAGTACAAATTGTCTAAAATGACTGATTTTGGTCTACACAGCATTTAATCTTACTAAAAAAATATAAGTACGGGCGTTTTCAACCGCGTATGATTTTTTCATCGTGAGACACAGGACCCCGAGACATTTCGATGCGGTTTTTTTTCTGATCGGCAGTAAAAGTCACTTTAGGTATTTTGTCTATTTACAGCAAATATGCTTTCCCCTGCGGGAATATATACATCGAAAATTTTTAATTAGCACATGAAACAGATTACTATTCATATTTTATCTATTCAACGATAGGGATTCAAATTTTTATGTTGTTTTGTTAGTTGGTAGTTACAATAACAACTTGTTAATACGTACTCTGTTCTGTGTGTGCGTTAACGGCAGAGCGTATTTTTGTTAGAGCTTAATACTCTCGATAGAGCTACAGCACTGCGATTTTATTCATTTTCCATTTCAATAATTTAGTTTGCTACATAATTAGATTCGTAAAAATAAAGTATATGGATGCACAATCATGGTTCCGTTTAAATTCTCCATACTAAAATCATCGGAGCTATTCTATTACGATAGATTCTTGTATGTTTGAAGTTTGGGTAGGTAGGTAGAAGTATCCAGGTATGGGTAGGTAGGTAGAAGTATCCAGGTATGGGTAGGTAGGTAGAAGTACCTTAGTAAACGACGCACCTACCGTTTATGGTTACTAGATTCTTTTGGAATATACCATATTAAGCTTCTTTCATATTTTGTCTCAAATTCAAACAAGGCACTTGTCAAATCACCAATTTTCTGCGTAATTTCTTATAATTCTTAGACTTAGGATGAGAAAAATATTTCCTTTCTTAAAAATGTAAGCATTTATACTTAATAATACTCATTTTAATAGTACAATACAATAAAGCTAATTTTCGAATCTTGGTCACGAAAATTCGTTTTTATTATTGCTACATTGTCAAATCATGATTTCGATTTTTTTACAAAAACTAATGATCCGCATAAAAAATAAGGTGAAAAAAATAAAAACAAATAACTAAAAAAAACTTTATTGCATCAATATTGAAATAAAATAATGGCAACATTTAAAAACTTAGAATGTACAAAAAATGCATTCACGTACAATCGCATTATGTACAGAAAAAAAAGTGACCTCATTTGATTAAACATAATTGTACCTTTCTACAAATACACCTTAAAAATAAAACAAAACGACAAAATCAATACGATCAACCATATAAACTGATGACAGAATCTTGAGCACTGTCAAATGTCAAACCTTATCAATTGACAGATCGTGGAGTACGTTTATAACAATCGCAATGCCATTAATAATAAACCACGTGTCCTTCAACCCTAAATAGTTAAGTAATATTTATCTATTTTTATTTAAAGTTGAGTAGCGTCATAACATAGGCGTTTAATCATATTATCGTGAAACAGGAAGACCGAATACCAATACAACACTGCTTGGAAATAATTGAACTAGATATTATTTATAACGTAAAAATACTATAAAAATTGTATTATTATTAAAACTATTGGAATCTACTAGATTCTATATATATATATTTTGCCACTATTTTTGTAGTTTTTTTACGTTATATACATATTAAATATTTCAGTATGGTAACCCTATACAGGGATACCTGTGTTAATAAAACGGTGGTTAAAAATTATTGTTCCAACCCAAATAAATTCATAAATTCATTTTACGACTAGAATTTCGATTGTGACAAGATTCGTCATGTTTCTTTAATAATACGCAAAACACTGGGAAGAGAAATTCATTTAAAAATGAGATATATTTTGTTGGCTCTGATTAAAAATAGCACGGCTTTCGTTACCATAGTTAACTGGAAATAACATCAATACTAAGGTCGATCTTTTGTAACATGTCGTTATAAGTACTCCCACTTGACTACTCCCAAAGTTAGGTTTAGTTCATTATTAATACCATTGGATAAAATTGTCTATTTACGTTAATAAAAATGTAAAGGCGGCAAAATGTGATCATCGCCTAATAAGGCCGCTAACAATTGCTAGTTCGCCAAACCGTGTTTAGTAGAGCATGCTGAGAACTGAGTTCGCGTACGCCATAGCTTTCACGTCCGGATGAGGCTGAAAAGTGAATTAAGTACATTTCTTTAAAAAATATATTTAAATGACGATAATGGGAGAGGTTCAGATATTACGTAACGCAATTTTTGGAAGAAAATGCAAGTGTTTCATGTACCCTAGTACAAGACTGACTAGTATAGTAAAACGTTTGCGTGACCACCTTGTGTCTCTTTAGTTACTATTATGTGGTGTTAGTCGAAAATAATATTAACAATAACGCGTAATTCAATCCCCGCCCCGTAACGTTTTACAAAGGACCCCCAAAACGCGTTACGTAATACTAAAAAGCCCCCAAAGTGGAAGAAAATGCAAGTGTATGAGAAGACGAGTAGAAGAATTGGGGAAGTCTTCTTGGAGGTCTCGTAGGTCATGTGACCACTTAATATAGAAATTTCGACTTCGTAAAGTTTTTGATAAAGGCTTTATTATTTGTAGCAGTTGTGTTGGTAAATTAGAATGTATGGAATACCTATACGAACGAACATAAATATAATAAGACATTTTATACACTGGACGGCTTAAATGCCCATATTTAAGGATGACATTACAGTTAAAGTAATAAATACCAAAAAAATAATATAATTTGTTTTGATGCGGTTTTATTAAATTTATCCTTAACTCGTTGACAGATAAAAATTTGATAACAAAGGCAATTTAAATGTATAGCCACGAATCTGGTATAAAATAAAATAATTTCTACAAAATTTACAGTTTTCAACATATTTTATAATTCCCTACCAAATGCCTGTTAGAGTTTTAAGACCCTTATTCATCTTGAGCACTGAGAAAATTTATACAAAAAAAAATTGGTTTGACAAAAACAAAATTCAAGTTTGGCGTTAAATAATACGTGCCTCATCTATTGAAGTTCAAACCAAACCTCAAATATATCTTGTTTACAGAGTTAAAACTCATCGATAAGTAGTACAAGTACAAATCAAGAACAGAATGTCTCCCTTCAATAGACTGTAATGTAGGTACTTCCTTATAATACTAAATATTTATAATTTGATCTAAAAATGTATTACTTATCACTAGTCCCATCATACATGAGCCTTATAGAGTCGAACGTCAAGATCAGACGATCAGATAAGTAAAAGTCGATCCTTAAACTGTTTTAAGGAATTAAATTGTAATGTCCAAGGTTGCAAGAGTTATTTTCATAAAAAATCCATGTCAATACTTACAACAGCTTCATACGTCGTGAAGTTGGGTTTGAGGTCCTTCCCGTTCATAGTTATGAATGCTCCCAGGTTCCCCATTGTGTCACTATAACGCAAAACAGAAATAGCTTAGCTTATTTAATATTCGTGTAACTAAAGATGACAATTTTTTTTAAACAATTGCCCCCCTTGTTTTTAGCTTCAGTCTGTTTCTATTTCCTTACCAACGTCGTTTTTGGGTCTTAAACCTACATAACCCGTACTCTGTAACTTTAAGGCTCGCAAGCGCGCTGCCGGCCTTTTAAGAATTGGTACGCTCTTTTCTTGAAGGACCCTCAGTCGAATTGGTTCGGAAATAATTACGTTTTTGTAAGTAGTTCTCTCAATAGCGGATATTGAGCGCTGATGTAGCAATCTTGGGATCCCGTGCAACGACAAAATCTGATCAATAAAATGTGAAATATTTTCGTATAAAATAACGAATAGATTAAATAAATAATACGACGTACCAGTAATTAGGCGCCGAGAAGACCGTGATACACATCCCGTCGTGCGCCACCTCGTAACCATCATTTTTGACCTCATGACTTCGTATGACGTAGTCCAACTTGTTGGTTTTAAGGAATGCGGCTGTGACGTCAGGGCCGAACTGGCAGCCCACGCCCCTTCTGGATGGGGACCTGCCTTCCATGGGCTGAGGGTCTGACCAGAGCAGCTCGCACATTATACCTGGAATAATTTATTTATTTATTAACACTTAGTTGCATATACATAAATATACTACAATTGACATAATTAAATAAAAAGGAGAGCAACTGGCGGCCTTTCGCTTCAAAAGGGGGGTTCCTTCCTCCCCACCACCCCCCCAAAAAAAAAAAGTATAGTAAGTGTTTAAAATTTGTAATGTTATATTATTTTTAATTTTTAATTATTTTAGTCATTTTAATCATTAAGTTTGACATTAATCTAATCAACAAAAAATAAACAGGAAGGAACAGATGTGTCCTTGAATCAACTAATTCTGCTCCCGCCTGGTATATTCAAGATCCTTCCCTTCACTTAAAGTGTTTTAGATAGGCAAAGGTTAACAATTTAGCTTACTTACTAAGGGTATACATAGTATGAAGGAGAAAAAGGCAGGTCATTTAAACTGAACCTTTGGAGAGTCATTTAGTTGATAAATCTTGATTAGAACGCATAATTGCAAAATTCACTTTAACAGGAGATATCCTATACATTTATGCCATTTTATATTATTTACAGAAAAATACATCAATACTAAGTCTCAGTACAATATCGTCAGGATATTATATATTTGTTACTGTAAAGCCGACAGTTCCAGTAAAACCTAAGATCTACCAATTCCTATGGTTCCAAGGTTGCGGTTCGACACCACCATTCCGTTGGACTTAGGATTTACAATTAAAGGGCAGGGAAAGTTTAAAAAAAAAAAAATGCACCTGCAGATCATCAGGATTACTTTGTAGTTCTAAATGCCACAATAGCAATCCGTGTTGTAACAAGTGAAATATTTTTTTTAGGTACCTTATGTAGGTGAGATTCAGAGATAAACGTTATGTTTTTTTCCAAATTTTAAGTAAGTTCTAACTCTGTAGCTTATTACTAACATATGATACCTTTATAATACTATGTACCTGTTTTGTCTAATAGTACATAAAGTAAATAATTAAAATTATCATTGTTTTATTAAAACCAACATCTACCAGCTGAAGTGGACCTAGCATACTAACGGTGGCTCAAAAATTATTTTCAAAAATAATGCAATCTGTCGGTAAATCCTAAGATACGGGCGGCTTTTACAGTGACATATTGATTACAATAGAGAATATCCTGACGATATTTTTGAGTTATAATTAACTACACCAGCCAAATTAAGTTCAACTCAGCACTAAATAGATACTTTTGGCGATACACAATATTAAGAACTAGTGAGGCAGATCTAACGTGGCTCAAAATTTAAAAAAATACTGAAGCGTGGCGGAATTTATGCGAGTTTTCTCGTTCTACGCCCTTGATTTAGAACTGTAGATTTACTGCCGTTTTTTTCGGCATATATATTATTTAACTTAGGTTCATATGTGTGCATTAATTACATGGATAAATGAATATTTTAATACGTTAAGTCTAGAACAACATATATTCTTTTAGTTATTATTATTATTTTATAGTAAGTTAATAATTTGGAGCTTAAAGAACTTACCATCTTCTGGCGGTTCCCTATTCCTCTCCACTTTGCGGATATCATCGAGCGTGATGTCGTCCTTCGAGAATAGACCTCCATGCATCACAATCACACGCGAATTAATGCAATGGGCTAATGGCAGCCAATGATACACCTCAGTGAAGAGATCAGCCATTTGTGATGAGTATTTAGAGGTTACTTCGCCTCGGAAACCATATACCCTGTTCATGTCTAGCGTTTCGTGGTTTCCTGAAAAAGGAATTACGAAAGAATTTTCAATAAATATTGTACAAGAATTTATAAATAAGTAGCGGACCCGACTAGAACTTGGAAAACTTTTTCGGCAAACAAAAATAATTCGGACGGCTCAGATTAGTAATCGAACCCAGATCGTTTGGTTACGCGCCAAGATCTCTACCAGTTAAGCTATCCGAGACCTGAAAAACCAGCTATTTAGTTGGAGTATTGATAAAATATAACCTAGATACCGACAGCGCCATCTGCCGGGCTGATTTGTGAATCACCAGGGCGCCACCCAGGTCCAGCCGTTTAAGAGGAGCTCAGTGACATACACACGTACAGTAGAATTATATATGTGTATATATAAAGATGAGGAAATATTAAACAACTACTAAAATATATAACGGTAAGTCATACTAAACTCTAGTTATAACATCTGTCAAACCTATTTTATTCTATTCTTTTTGACATTTTGACAGCGGACAAGAGCAGCAAGCTGCTAAAATCATGCGAAAAAAAAATAATATATATATTTTTTTTAGAACATATAATATGTATGTAATAATAGCATAAAATACAATTTGTCAGTTAAAAACTTCACATTTTTCACACTTTAGCTAATTCAGGCTTGTAGCATGATTCTGAAACCAGTTGCGGCTGAGAGTATGAGTTGCAAACCCATCGTGATTTATCTGAAAGTCCTGGGTTTCATTCCAGTTAAAAAACAAGTCTCAAAACTACTTAGAGTATCAAGTATCCCTAGAAACAATCAGGACAACATGACAGAAACCCTTTCAGCCTACAAACATAACATTCTAATGTAAAGTAAATTCTTAATATAACTTACCTCTAGACATAAAGAAGTGGTCCGGATACAACAACTTAAAACTGAATAAGGTAAATATACATTCAACACTAAATGAGCCGCGGTCAACAAAGTCACCGTTAAACAAGTAAGGATTGCTCTCCGAAGGTAATCCATTAAGTTTAAATATGTTCATTAAATCGTAGTACTGGCCATGAATGTCTCCACATACGGTGAACTTTTTATCATCCTCCACTTTGATGTCTACTAGAGACGGCTGTTTTTGAAGATATGCTTTGACATCTATTAATATCTGGAAAATAATTATTGCTGTTGAATATTCAGTTTCTTTGTCCCTGACGAAAATAGATAACATGACATTTTTCTTAAACTTCCATAATAAAAATGTCATCAATAAATGAACAGGTTATTTTTAAATGATAATTTATATTCTCTAGAAATAAGGCAAGTTTTAACATACTCCAAGGTTTATAAACAGTCTTGCTTGCTTTTGTTGATATTTTAGTTTATGCTAACTATAAAGAAATAATAACAGTTATTAGTGGTAAAATTATATTATTCATATACTGTTATATTATTTTCTATGTAACTTTAGTATAATCAAAGCCAAGCTATATTTTTTTTTTCAAGACAATTCACACCAATTGACCTAGTCCCATGCTAAGCTGGTGAAGCTTGTGTTATGGGTACTAGGCAACGGATACACATACATATTATAGATAGATAGACATATAAATACATATTTAAACACCCAAGGCCTAAGCACAACACCAAATGCTCATCACATCGATGTTTGTCTCAACCGGGGATCGAACCCGGGACCCATGGATTCGCAGTCAGGGGTACTAACCACTAGACCAATGAGCCGTTGAAATGTAAGATACTTGTAAATTACAGAATTTCCTGTGATATCTACAATAAAAACTTACTTTATATGCATATTTCTTATGAAGCTTCTTTTGATGTTCATAGAACTTCATAAGTTCAGTCACAAACTTGAGAGTAACCTTTCCATCTTCCAGACTTGGACCCACATATTCATCTTCAATAGCTGAAAATGTATGGAATGTATATAAATATATTTCACAATAATTATACCTATTGTGCGAGTTCATACTATGTAGTAATAATTGTTTAAACCACCTACAATGTTAGTGCTATTAATGAATTATAGTTTATATACTAATATTTGTTATTTGTTCAACACACATAGGTGTTTTTTATTGAATAGATAATTCACAAACAGCTAGTTCACCATACACAAAAATTACAAATACCGAAAAAGAATGCAGTCACCACCACAACAGTGATTTACTTTACAAAATATGCAAATTAAAAATATAGGTACATTCATTATATGATAGCAAAAAGAATATGAAGAACCATAAATGTGGATAAGGCAATCACAGATTTTGTGAGAATTTGTTTTATAAGCAAGTAAAGTTCTGACTTTTGACTCATAGGTTTTGTTACATTATTTCATTCCAGAAAATATAGCTGTGTATATATATGCTAAGCCATGAAAGCAGTGCCTCATATAAAAAAAATCTACATTAAGAAGTAATTGAATCGGATTTCAATGAAACTTAAGTCAATATGCTAATTTAGTTATTGAATTAATTCAAATAATAATTTGTTCAGAATTCACATACTATGCTAAAAGGTCACAGAAGTTTAATGGTAGGTTAAGTTCCGGTAAATTAATTAAAATTTAAGTTAATTAAGGGAACTACTTACTTATAGAATCTAAATTAATAGAATCAGCTATATTCACTTCTTTCTTCTCTACTGCTATTGCTTTTTCAAAAGCAATTTTCATAACTATTTTGTTACATTCATTATATTTCAACTTGGCATCTTTGTCATTTGGCCTAACTTTGGTGACCTGGAAGAAAGGTAATGATAATGTGACTTAGATGTAAGAGAAATTTATTTAACTCTACTAAACTGACTTTCTATTATCCCATAACTAAATATAATTTAGTGTGAATGTGTGTTACTCGTAATAAAACCACACCACAACAGAAAACCATTTAAGTACAGATTTATTTTAATTACTACTATAACACAATTATTGTAACTAACACTAATGTGTAGCATGTGTAAATTGTATGTGTGGCTTTTAGAAGATGTTACAGTACTTTTCCCGTAAACATCATGTCTTTGATTCAAAAATATCAATGTGTGAGATTTTTTCTTGCCAATAAAAAAAAATCAATCAAACAAACACAGTACAGTAAACAAATACAGTACAAACTACATTTTTATTTTGTTCATTTATCATGGATATCAAAAGCTTCTGATCTGACTCTAAGAATATGTAATATGTATATTATCAAAGGTGAAATAATAAAATATTATTCCTACAAAACAAATTCTACAAATAAAATCTTCATATTCGGGTGTACTTTGATATTATCAGATATGTTATCTGTCTTCTGTCCTAGAAACTGATGTTACTAAATTGTAAGAGGTTTGATATGGGGCATTTATTTCATATTTATTATTCATCATTCATAATATAATACAAATAAATATAGAGAAGGTAAATATTAAAAATATAAATTATTTGTGGATAGTATGTTCATCAAGAGTGAATTACAAAAATAATATCTGTATATTTTCCTGTTTCTTAAACATAAAGTATTTATTTATTTCATACTCCTACTGTTAACATAAATTCTATATATAACAAAAATCCAATTATACTATAGATATAACCAAAGATGGAATAAATGATATATAAAATTCATACAAAAAAGTTCAAACATTAATAAAACTTAGGAATGAAAAAACAATAAGATGCAACAAATACATAAACTAAGTATACCTAATTTGTGTATGACGTATAATGGTGTGTAAGTCAGGGTAAGTATGTGACGGCGTATGTTGCATTCTAGATGATAAAATATTACAATACTATTGGCATTAGTTAAAATGTTTAATGAATGAATATAGAAAAGTATATTCAATATGTATACTGTAATTTCTATTTAGCCATTTTATACCAATAGCGCTATGACATGTATTCTCAAAAATATCTACTTACATATTGGAAATCCATAAGCGCTTGCTTATATTTTCCTAAAGACATATTAGCAGCTGCTCTCCTGTAATAGGCCTTAATGTAAGTTTTATCCAAACCTATTGCTTTCGTTGCATCACTCAAGGCATAACCAAAATTTTCAAGTTTTAAATTTGATATACTCCTATTACCGTAGTATATGGCATTTTTTGGGTTCTTTTCTATTGCTTTAGAATACAATTCAATTGCGTTATTGTAATGCTGTTCTGGAAAAGAGGTTATAATAAATATTTAAAAATCAGTATATAGTTCGAACATAATTTAGTTACTAAAATGAAGATTTAGGCATAGAAAAAAATTTCGGAATAAGAAGTAAATGCGTACTTACTTTTAAAACATTCATTTGCCTCATTTTTATATTTTTCTGCTGCTTCTATGTCTTCTTGTGATACTGGTCCAGTGAGTTCCTCGTTTTCAGCCATTGTATAATTAAATAATTAACCACAAAACTAATCTTAAAGATTCTTTTAATCAATTAAAATAACTTTATCATAAGAAATTAATATTATAGTTTCTTACATCCATTTATCTTTGTATCCGCATTACGTGAAAAATTTATTTGATAGATGAATGATAGTCATAGACTATAGTATATAGAAACTATAGAGTTCCACAGAATAAAACAATCGTGACTACTTTTTTATGAAAAATCAAAAATTGACATGGATACAAGTTATAGACTAGAGATTAAGTTCTAATAAAATATATGCAAATATAATATAATCGAATGGTTAATGTTATAGAATATATATAGTAAGTTTCTGTCAGGAAAACTTGACCAGCGGTCGGTGGAGTCGGAACTTCTGACATTCGCTTTTGCATAGTATTCGTCTAAACTCTAAGGTATTTTAAATTTATGTGTGTAAAACATTTGTTTGGTTCTGCCAACAACCATAACTTATGTTTAATGTTGGGTACCAACAATTAAAAAAGGGTCCGTGTACTTATGTACGCGCGTAAGAAGTTATACTTCTTTGGCAATATTAAAAATAGTTTGGCTTTGTTCCACCTCCAGTTTTTGATGTTTCACAGCGATAAGATGAAAACTCTTTTTTTGTATTCAATTTAGTGCAGTTACACTGATTCATCAATTGTTTTTTTGTCTCTTTTCCTTATATTTGCTAGATAAAATCAGAAAAATTACATGTTTTGATTAAACAATGTGGTTAATTTTTTAATCAAAACATTACTCGATAATAATAAATAATACATACGGATAGTTAACCTCAATTGTATTGAAGCACTTAGGAAGGTTGATGAGCACAGTTTTTTCACAAATATTAATTAGTATTGGTTTAAATATTCAATTTAAATCACTTCTGATTATAATTCAAAAAGCATCGCTAAATTTCTTTGAAAAAATAATTAAAACTCCTTTATTTGTTTAAAAGGTAAATGACAAATGTCATTATGGTCATTCAAAATTGTTGGCATACGAACTTCACGCATATTCTATTTCTTTTTACTTGTAGATTGTCTTATTCCTATCTCGCTCGCGCACGCTATAATCACACTCCTAATTTTGTGTCACGGGTGCGCGCGCATTGTAAAATTTCACTCTCATAAATTTTTCATAACGCGCCTAAAGAAGTATAACTTCAAAAATTCGTGTTCACTGAGTGGCGGTTTGTTTCCAACTGTCGCTCTGAACTTACTTGATACGAGCTTATGTCTTAGATACCTACATAAAATAATTGATTTAGTTTTTGTTCGTTTATGATACTTAATATCTTAAAACTAACGAGGAATCAGTTAATGTGTTAAGTAATGCAGATATATATGTACGACTACGTATATATGTCATAGCCTCTAGTACAAAAATCTAATGGTTACTGTATAGAATACAGAAAACTGTGGAATAACGGATAGTGAGCACTAACCGGACTAAACGATCATATATTATGTCATGTAAATTTTTATTTGTCACGAGATTTCAAACTGTTCTTTCATGTATTGTACGTATCTTAAGCGTTGCATGTAGGTTATTACAGTAAGATTTTTTTTTTAAACTCCGAATTCACTATATTATTGCATGGATGTATATACCTGGCGTGTGATAAGGAAAGTATGTCATTAAATGATAAGGCGTGGGAGAGGTGTTAAAATTTATTATAACAAAGTTAACATTAGAGTTGGTGCCTAGATTTAGTAAAAATTACTTATAATTTAAAAGTGAAAGTCAACGAATACAACACTGTGTGACTTCCTATAAAAGAGAAGAATACAAAAAATAATTTAAAGCTATTCTAAAAAGCAAAAACAAAATGATGTCAAAGGAAGTTTAAAATAGTAATACTTATAATTAGAACTATAATTCCGCTTTTAACTAATACTCCCGAACTGGGTTGGGCACACGTTTCGCTTTGGCCTACTTTGAGGAAATAATCCTCATTAAATTCTTGTCTGTTAGCAGCGTATGTGTTTATAGCAGTATTGCCAGCCTCTGTCATCGTTCGCGTTCTGCTGAGCTTCCATGCCCCAACTAAAATTAGGAATATACTTCATTATAGTAGAGAAAGAACAAGATTTAGTTTAGGTTGATGGTTTGTAATAGCTAATTCATGCGTTTTTATGGCTATAAGTTTCAGAAACAAAGCTTAGCGCAAACTCCCGCATAATAAAATCCGCTATTGACTAAAGCAAGTCTTGCTTAGCGCTGTCGACTGTGAACCTGTTCTGTGTCCTGTTTGTTTTAAAAAAATATAATTATTAATATTACATTTGTATGCAAATTCATCTAAATATTCTGTTAATAGGACACCTAGGACACAATTCACCATTCAACATTACCAATTAGGGTTGGGTTCTCCAGGATTAGAGAACATTTCAGATTCCTAAGTAACAGGTGGTTATATTAAAAACAACAATTACAGAAAATTTAGTCGTGTAAAGTGACAGGCCGCTAGTAAAATTATGAAAATTAGATAATATTAAAAACTTACTCGCTCTTTGATAAGGACCAACGTTGACGCAGCTATACGCCAGCGAGTACGAAATATAATCTGTTTTCAGGATATAGAGATCCATTGAGACCATAGGAGGGTTCGGGTCTGGAAAAAATGAAGATAAAAAGACGCTTTAAACTTTAAATTAATAATGATTATATGGCTTTGATAACCGCTCTAATCTGCTGGCTAGTAACTACAATAGCGATTCCAATGCGAATCAGTTTTACAGTAGCGATGTCGATTTCAGGTATTTAATTATTTATTCACACTTGCAAACAACGTAGCAGTTGTAGCCTCATGGCAGGGATTTATTCCAAGTAATAGTAAGACAAAAAATAATATAAGGAGCTTAAAAGTAACATGTATGAATAGGCCTTACCATCTGTACCGCGAACAGGTAAGTTGACGACCAGTTTGGCACTCCCATCGGCTGAGATGACAGTTGCATTTCCTTCAACTGTGTCCAGTTTACCGTCAATGACCTGCCAATTCTCGACTGTGATGACGCTAGTGTAAGTGTTGTAGCTATACCTGGCTCCAGTACAGTTGCCACTCTCAAAGCGTTGAGGATACCTTTCAATTTGGTACCAGGTTCCGGTATACTGGAAGTATTATAATAATTGTTAGCTTATATTCATTTGTTTTTGGGCAATGTAGAATTTAACCCCCTTATTCATACTAATGCTGTCAATTACTCTCTTTTAAAAAAGAGACTCTTTCGTCTCTTACTTTTAAATTACGCTGTGATGAAAAGAGACAATTAATGTGTACTTTGATTAAAACTATGAGACTAGATACCATTAAAATAATACTTTTTAAGATTATACTGCAATGCGTATTAATTCTATTTAAAATAATTTCAGACAATTTTACACACGCTTGGCAATTTAAATTTCTGCAATTACCTGTTACCGATATTTTCAGTAACTGTTTAATTTATCAAGTATTATATATAAAAAGCAATAATATTATAGAATAATGTCTTTAGTTTATGCGCGTAGACATAATATACAACAGATATGGGAGGCAAGTACGCGTAGGCTGTTTATTTATTTTATTTTTAATGTATTTCTAAAATAATTGTTTAAGACATTTAAAGTTGTTAATAAGTACAAACTTAAAGAACAAAAATGTACTACGAATATCCAAAACTGCAACGTATAAATACCTGTGCAGCATCAAAAGATGTTTCGCCTGATATACTGTCATCACACTGTCCAGGTATGATGGTCCGGTCTCCCGTAGTTTCAGGGTAGTGGAAACATACTGAATCACTCTGGTCTACTGAGAAATAGAACTTCTCTTCCAAAACTCGATTGGATTCCATATATTGTGAAATGACATTCTGCGCGTCCTCTGATAGCTCTCGGGTTTTGGAAAGCTTTGCACTCCATACTGTTGAGGAATAGTAAGTATGATTACTGCTGGATTGGGTATGGTGTTACAATTTTCCAAAGGCATTTTGATAAAAAAATGATTTTTTAATAGAGTTTGAAACCACCGACAATTACCTTAATACGTGGGCCTCCCCCTTACTAATACATGAACGTGATTCCACGATGGTAGGTACACTATTTATTAGTTATGCAAAAGCGGGAAAGTGTAATTTTAGTACGAAAAGACTCATGCATGCCGAAATACGTAATCATGATTGAATATTTGCCTAAGTAGTATTAGAAAAGTAGTTTTAAAAGGCCGGCAACGCACTTGCCAACACTCTGGCAATGTGAGTGTCTATGGGCGGCGGTATCACTTAACATTGGGTTGAGCGTCCTGCTCGTTAGTAGAAAGTTTAACACACACATACATAAAAAAGGTAAGAGAAGGTACTTAATATTACAAAAGTTAAAGGTTATTTTCGCTATTGGTATAATGTACAGTGTTAAGTACTATGGTCAGTTTTTGTGATAAAGGATATTGCTGTTTACTATTTTTTATTCTTTAATGTAAAAAATAAAAATAGGTAAAAAAACTTTTTAAGTTAAACGGTTTTATGTTAAACATACATTGCAATGTTTAAGATAAATGTACTAAAAACCAAAAAATAATAAAATAGATACAGTCGAGTCGTGGGAATTATAAGCATATGCATAGACTAGACTAAAATAAAACCGTGGGGCACGTCAATTGTCTACAAATTATCGACTTAATGTGCGATAGAAGAATCGTTTAATTCGTCGTTAAAATAGGCAGTTGGCCCGCAGACGGTCAGGAAATTACTTACTATTTTCTTGCTCATGGAAATTCCAATAGTTATACACTCCATGTAAATAAAAGAGATGTTTCAACTAGTTTATCGTTGGACATTCACACTGCTGGCTGGCGAGGAATCGTTTCAACAGACAATTGACATGCCCCACGGTTTTATTTTAGTCTAGTCTATGCATGTTTATAATTCCCACGACTGTATGTATTTTATTATTTTTTGGTTTTTAGTACATTTATCTTAAACATTGCAATGTATGTTTAACATAAAACCGTTTAACTTAAAAAGTTTTTTTACCTATTTTTATTTTCTAGTTTTTAGTTTTTATTTCGCATTCTGTTTAATTCATTTAGTGCTTCATTATTGCAAGGTTCCTTGCCCGTTAGTTTATATAAATAAATCAATTCTATAATATAAATATAATATATATTTAATTAATAAAATAGATACAGTTTTTAATATAATGTTATATATTATATAATATTTATTTATTTATTTAGTTTATTGTATTGTCACCAAAATCCAAAGTGTATACAAAATTTCAGATTAATCGGTTGACAGGAAGAGGGTGAAATTTGAATTACTAAATTTGACCCAAGAATAAAACAAACGGGGTGAGCTAAATAAAACCATTTAAAAATTGAACATAAGATACAGGTATCACTTATTCCACGTCATTAAATTTGAATCGGTAGACATCCCTACTCAACGGCAAAGAAGACAGGGGGTGTAGGTCGAGAGAAAAAGCCGGCGTAAAAAACTCTCCGTACTCTTTTCATCTAGATATGAAATATTCATATAACGTAATTTTAACCGCAGAAGAATTAGGTAGATCGCTATACTTACCACGCTTGTAATCATCATTGATATTTTCACAAGAATATAGTAGCGAGAATGTTTCATAATCCGTTACAAGCACCAATAATTCTGAAAAAAAAAATCAACTAAAACATATTAATCCCCTTAAAAGTGATAACGTTGCCAGACGTCCCGTATATCCCGGGACGTCCCGTATTTTCGGCTTAGTTTGGAATGTCCCGTATTCGAACCGTGCTCCGTTTTTTATTGTGAAAACTTTAATCTTTTAAATAATGCGTGGATTAAACTGCTGACGCAAACGAATGACTAAAAAACAATTTTTGAAGTTATACTTCTTTAGGCGCGTTATGAAAAATTGATGAGAGTGAAATTTTACGATGCGCGCGCACCGTGACACAAAATTAACAGAATGAAGTTGCCCACGGAAGATGCTACGGCATTGGACATAATTTAAAAACAACATTCGAATAATAATAGAAGTTATGTTACACTTAATGTAAGAGAATGATAATAAATATTTATTTAACTATTTAATTTTTCAAATGTAAACTGAACTTTATTGACTATAATGACTCCTTTTCCAGTCTTTGATTATTTAATTGTAATTAATTATTTGCATGCAATCAAAAACTATTTTTAATAATGCCAAAGAAGTATAACTTCTTACGCGCGTACATAAGTACACGCACCCTTTTTTTTGTAGTTCTACAATAATTTTACGGGCTATCAAAAATAAAAATAAATGGTGTAACGATATGAATTTTCAGAAAATAATATTAAGGTACTCTTTTTAATCTTTAAGTTTGAAATAAACTACAACAATTTTTAAGAAGCTGCGGAATATCTTAAGATCGAAGAAATAAATATTATTGCTTGTATGAAGAATTCCAAATAATCAGAAAAAGCCTGAATATTGTTAATACAAGAGTATAGGAGCGACTGAAACTTGGAAGAAAGTCAATAAAAGGTTTTCCAGTACCGAAATCCTGGGTAAAAACCTAAATTCCTGTATTGTTTGCCTATTTAAGCATTTTCCCCTTATAGGCTGAAAAAGAATCCTTTTCTAATCAAATCGAATTTCTAAGGTACTCAATCTTAGAAATAGACTACCATTACTATACATTAAATATTATATTATTGTTTGAATTTAAGAAAGTATATTGCTACAACAATGATATTATAACACTGTCGGCATAGAGCAGTAATCTTATACATCATTCATTTTTATGTTTATATCTAATTATGATATTAAATAAAAAAATCTGAATTATAAAAAAAATTAAACGTAGAAATCTGAATTAAATATTGTACGATAATTATTCGTGTCTTTTGTGCTCGCACTTTACCCAAATGACTTCCACTAAACATGCTAATGAAATGTCAATATCGACGGAGTCACGATGTTACTCAGACATATAGAATCGCGTTCAAGTTCTTAATTGAAATATAAATAGATTTTATATTTGCTTATTCATAATATGCGTAAAAAAGTGATGATAAACTTACCAACAGAACTGCCATCGCTGAACGTCTTAATCAATCTTCCGTCACTGGAAGCTGTGACTGTACTTGTTATAACCGTGGCACTATTGTTTCGTACACTGGTATCAATCATTTGGTATGTATTTCCAGTAGCAACAAGCTCAGAACTGATACAAGATCCAGTTTGGCTACTTGGGTAGTTTTCGATTTCATGCCACCAGCCCACGAACTGTAATTTGTATTTATATTTTATCACTGTGACTGGATTGTTTGTTGAGCGACAATCACAACAAATTTATTTTAGAACAAAAAGGAGTTGATTTGATTAAATTAAGTCCCAGCCAGTTAATAAAAACGATACATCGTCTACTTGTATCTAAATCTATAAATACATTTTTAATAGCACCTTGTTTTTAATCTAAATCCTTTACTCACTTTTTCTATATCGAATCCTTCCACACCTTTAACATCTTGACATTGTCCCCTAAACACTGGAGGCGTGTTCCTATCTGCTTCTGGTATGTAGAAACAAGCATCTTCCGTTTGACTTGTAGATTTGTAATTGCGTTGTATGAGACCTTCGGTATTTCTAATAACATTGTCCATAATAGTTTCTGCGTCTGGACTTAATGTTTTGCCTCTACTAAGCTTCCAACTGCCCACTATAATGTGAATGGTTGTGATATTTTAGGCGAACTTTTTTATTGTTGTTTGTTATATGGAGAACAGTGTTAGCCTAGTGGGTTCAGCGTGCGACTCATCCTTAGGTTCGTAAGTTCGAATCCCGCCTTTACTTAATGGTTTAATGGTCTATCAGGCTATGTGTCATCTACCGAGTTTTAGACGTGTTTGGCGATGGTAAAAAGCGAGTGGTTAGTACTCTAAGATGCTAGTTTGAAGCTTGATATTATTTAAGTTAGGTTAGTTACAATTTTCACTGATTATGTTCATTTTTTTATTCAGTGTTTTCTTTCTTCTTTTTAACGATTTTTCTTTTGAATGATATAATGTACGTACAGTATTTTTATGTGTGTATTTTTATGTAGCTTACATGTGTACGTGCTTTTTTGTAAATCTCTATTGCATATGATTGATTTTGTGACCAATTTGTGTTCTACCGTCACTTAAATTTCTGCTTTTTTTGGTATTATTAGTAATTTTAGTCATTATGTTATATTCTAAATCTTTGTCAAAATTAAATTAAATTATTTGTTATTCGTTATTATTCCTCATGTGTGTGTTAATTGGGAACATGGAATGTAAAATCTACTGGTGTAAAGTCGGGGCTCGAACGCAACTCAGGTTTGAGAATCTCGAGAGAAATTAAAATTTAAAAGATCATCTATCTTTTGTGTACTCTAAATATACCCAAGAACTTCAACTTTTTATATACATACGTGAGTCATACATATTATTTACAAGCCTATTCTGCCTTCTAAGAGTTACATTTTTTCGTTTTTAAAGTATGGATAAATAAGACGAAAATACCTTGTCTCTTTCCATTTTCCAAGTTTCGGCAGCTGTATACAAGAGCGTAACTTTCGTAATCCGTAGCGAGTATGTAGTAGTTCGATGTAATTGATACTGAAAGGAAAAATAAATTAAATGTCTAATATCTTTTTGGTGATATATCAAATTTAATTAAATCGTTTATTAAAAAGCTGAAAATGAAGAATCGCCGTGATTGTTATTGTTTTAGTCATATCATATTGAGTATATATTAACAATATTTTTCTTGGAGTGCTCATAGTTATTTAAGTGTCTTAAGAACTAAGTTGGTATAATAAAAAAAGCTTTATTAATTTCCATAACAACACATGCGACACAAATAATAAAATAAACATTCTATTCATTTATAACTAGGCGGGTTGCCACGGGTAAAAGCCTCCTCCAAAATGTTTACTGTCTTCAGCCGACTTTCGCTTGCCGTCATTGCGATTTCGTCTATCCATCAGCACATGGCCGCTATCTTGATCTTGTGTCTTGTGGCCCCGGCCATTTAACCAGTCATTGTACCTGGCTACTATGTTAGTGTACTCTAACATTAATATCTATAGGTAAAAAAATACCTACCTATTTTTTGATAAGGCAAATAGCGTTATCCAATGCCTAAAGCTGGAGGTGTTCTTAGAGAGGATTTCAGTTTCGATTTATGAGTTTCGCAATCGCGACGAAAACGATGCAATCCTAAACCTAATATACCATGTCATTATAAAAGTCATGAACATCGGCAGAGGCAAACATTCTCCATAATATAATGCGTATTATGTCTGCGCACATACTACACTATACTGGAAATGGCCAGTCTGCATAAATATTAGCCGATGTATCCGAATTTGCTTGAAGAATTTTTGATAAAACATTTTTTGAAGGAACTTGAAAAATTTCCTTTTTCTACCTTTATAAAGCTTAAAATTGCAAGTTTTGAAATTCGTCTTATTTTTAGCTGAAGCTGCTGAGGAGATTCCCTTACAGTCGTTATAAGGTTCGTTGCTTTATATTTATTAAAATTGTTATCAAGTTTTTGTCATTGTTTGAGAGTTGAATAATAAATAACTTAAATTACCTGGCATAGTGAAGGTAACATCTAAAACTCCAGAGCCGTCGTTGGACGCGACTCTAGCAGTTGCATAAGCGACATCTAGTGAGCGATTAACTACTTGAGTGTTCATTACATTGACAACGACGCCATCTGTGGAGGTGTAGTACGCTCTTGCGCAGTCGCCATTTTGGAATCGTTGAGGGTAGCTCTCTATCTCAATCCAGTTGCCTAAGTACTGTAAAAAAAAAAATATTTTTATTTATTATATTATATTAAAATTTATTTTAATATAATATTTTAATTAATTTATTATAATTATATTAATATATAATTATATTAAAATTATATTTATTTTCACCAACGCCAATAAGGTGGTACAATACACCTTTTGGAAAGTGACAATCACAGATGAGTACCTACAGAAGAAGGCTTATAGCTAATTCAATTATAATACAAAAATAGTGTAGGCTAATACAAGCTTAAATGGAAATCACAACAAAAATGACCATATTTGTGTCAATAACGATATTATAGACGGAACATTAATGAATTGGGGTTCGTCGTGAAATTGCGTCCTATTAATATAAAAAGCAATTATTCATGCAAATCGAACACATTTGAGTACGCTAGATACTAACAGCGCTCGCGTTGAAGTTTCCCACTCCTCGGATACTGTCATCACAGCGTCCTATTAAAACAATTTCTTCAGGTAACGTATCATACTCGGGGTAGTGGAAGCAGCCTTTGTCTGTTTGGTCTGTGTCTTCATAGTACCCTTCCCAAAGTTCTAGCGAATCTGATACGACTTTATTTATACTATCGACGGCTTCAGGTGATAATCCAGCCTGCCGCCTACTGAGTTTCCAACTGTATACTGTAACAGAATTAACAGTTTAGTGAGGAGTTTATAAAATAAAAAAATAAAAATAAAAAATAAAAATAGCCTTTATTCGAGTACATTATAACTACAGTAAGTCCATGTCTTTTAAGTTTTACACTTGTACTCGACCTTCGATCTAGTGAAGGCCTCCTCCAGATTCTTCCACTTATTCCTATTTGATGCGACAATTTTCCAGTTTTTTCCCGCTATCCCTTTTATATCGTCTTCCCAAGTTTTCGGTGGGCATCCTCTCTTTCTTTTTCCCACTGGGCCCTTCCAAGTAAGGGTCTTTTTGACCCATCTGCCATCACAAATGCGGCCAATGTGACCGGCCCATTTCCATTTTAGCCTTTTTGTATAAGTTACAACATCTTTTATTTTTGTACGACTTCGCATCACCTTGTTTTTTATTTTGTCTTTTTTATTTTTTTGTGAGAAGTGAGAGTTTATATCCTTTACAAATTCATAGTCTAAAGTTTATTTATTAGAAAATGTTAATGTGTGTTTTATGCACTTCTACCATTGTAAGTCTTCTGAGTAAATAAAAAGTTTACTCGAATATTTACAACGATTAGATTATTATAGGTATATTAATTTAGTTTTTATATGAGCGATGAGCGAAACTTGCAAAACTACGTACTGGTAACTGATAATGCGTACCTTGTTTTCTCCCTTCTCCGATGTCTCTGCAGCCATAAAGTAGGGCATAGTCAGTGTAGTTGACATCTATGACGTACATAGTAGTCTCATATGTAGCTAAAAGAAAAGATCAAGTTTACTTATTTTTTTTAGTTTTTCTCATTTGTTTTATACTAGCGGCCCGTCCCGGCTTCGCTCGGGTGGACATTTATTATTAGAAATTTTTTGTGATATTGATATGATGTTTAATATTGTGGAACATTTTTTTGTTCTATCATCAATAGTTTTCGCAGTGCATGCGATGAAAGATATTTTATAGGCATTTTTACACCTTTGGTACCATTATTGTAGTTTTACTAGGGATCCTTATTATTTTCTTACAATTAAAATCGCCTATATTAATCAGAGATAAGGTAGCATTCATACGGTGAAAGAGTTTATTAAAATCGCTCCAGTACTTTTTGAGCCAATTCGTTACAGACATACTTACATACAAATCTTTCCTCTTTATAATATTAGATGCATGCTTTATAATATATTTTAAAATATAACATTCTAAAATTATTTGTTAGAAAAGAATAATAAACAACAAATGTTTTAATAAATGCCAGCTTTACTCGCTTTGGATTAAGTTTTAAGTTAACACATTACCTCCACTTCCATCAGTTAGATTAACAGTCAGGATTCCTCTTCTATCATTAGAGAGGGTGGCTGATCCCGTTGCCTCAACCAACTCTTCAGCAGACACGTAAGTCTTCTTCATTGTAAAGCCATTGTTTGAAGAAACAAATTCGTTGGAAACACATTCACCAGATTTTAGTTCTGAGGGGAATCTTGATATTTCGTACCAAGGGCCAGTGAACTACAATATAGATAAAATATGTATCTCTCTCATACAATGTAGGTCAATATATATAAGACCAATAAAATAAATATTAATTGTAGCAAAAAGCCAAGGAAATATCAATCGCTTTGAGTCTACTTTACGGGCTCTGCTCAAAGTAAAACTAAATCTATGCAAGTGTGCTGATGAAATATGTCTTCCAAGTAACGTCGTTCTAGTGTTACATCAAGACTTAGTAGTTGACAGAACTTCTTTCACTGGCTGATTTTTATGTATAGTAAAAAGCTAGCTTCTGATTATAATTTGTGATATAATTGGATATGGAAGGGGTTGCGTAGATTTTAAAAATATGATGGTATTATACTAAAAGCAATGGCTAGCATTCTCTATTGTAAACCTGTTCTGTTGTTTCTGGAGTCTATGCTCTTGCGTTCTGTTGTTTACACATTATTCATTTTTGAAAATTTATTACGATTCTTTGTTACTTTTATGAAATACCCTAATACAGTAACACCACATCGAGTTGCACAAAGTGTTTTCAAACGTCAAAAATTCAAACGTCTGCTTTGAAGTGAATTACAATGTCCTAGGCTTTTACGTGCAAAACTTTTATGACGGTCTTTTTTAAGTTAAAGCAACTTACCGCTTCTACATCAAAGTTATCAACGGCTATGGTGTTAGCTGCGCACTCTCCCAGCATTTCCACTGGACCGCCGTTGTTATCGGGGAAATAGAAACAGTTGCTGTCTGAATGACCCCTCTCTTTGTAATATTTGTTACGGAGGACTTTTACTGAGTTCATAGTGTTGTTTATATGCGTATTCGCATCTTCTGATAGATATTTTGTTCTGCTGAGTTTCCAACTTGACACTAAAATGGAGTTGTGCTTATTACAGAGAGAAAAACAATACTTGTTAGTTATTTAAGGAATGTTTAAGATGTGGGAACTTCACGTGAACCTCTCGGTGATCATATGAGTAGGTATCACTTGAAGTCCAAAATAGGTATTGATTGAGAGTTTGAGAATATTGGACTCCTAGGTTAGTTGAGATTGTATCTCTGATTATTTTTTAGGTAAATATGTATTAATAATATTTTGAACACTGTGTTAGCGATCAGACTAAACGCATGGACTAGGCCCAATGTGTCAAGGACCTCAATGCCAAGAATAAGTGTTTGTTGCAATATAACTATATTATCATAGTGATTTCTTCGTATATCCTTTATGTTATCTTGTCTTTGTTTGGTAAATAAAATTAGTTTACCTCTACTGTTTTCATTGTTTTCATCGTTAACACAAGAATATACCAATGCATAGTTTAAGTAGTCAGTTGCGAGTACCCAGTATGGCGTACTAGTATTAACTGAAAAAGAAACGATCATGCATAAAAATGAGGAAAAAACTGTTACGTTAAAAACAAATTTAGAATCAATCCGAGGCATTTCATGAATTTTGGATTAAATTTTGTTTGTTTATTTCAAATCAAATCATCGCAATCGTTATCAAATAATGCCTTGTTAATTGTTTGAATTTTTATAAATAATTTGTCTCTTCAAAATCGTATACCATTTGCGACTCGCGAGATTTTGTTAAGATTTGATATACGAGTTTGATTCGAACTTTGCTTATTTCAATAACCGATAAAAATAAATAATTCATTCAGAATAAATAAATATAAACAATTATTCATTTTGTACTGCACAGTACAGTAAAAATAAATACATACGAGCAGTTCCAGGTATGGGGAAGGAGACAGTTAATCTAGAAGATCCATCAGCGTAGGGTACAGCCACTCCGTTAACGTATGACAACCTTTTGTTAATTACTTCAGTATTATAGACATCTACCACTGCATTATTAAGGGTGTAATTAGCGGTTGGACAACTACCAAATTGGTAGGCAGTTGGGTAACTTTCTATATCGTACCAGGATCCTAAATACTGAAATATATTGATGGCTTTATTACTTAATCTTTTACGAAAACTGGAACACAATTTATAGAAGGTGAAACTTCCAACTAATGTTATAAGATAGTATTTGTATTTAATATCGTCTATTGAGTCAAAAAACATACTTACATTAGAAGCATTGAAATTGTTAACTAATGGAACATTTTCCTCACATGGTCCTCTAAATACTAATGGCTGACCATTATCTTCAGGATAGTAAAAGCAACCATCGACTGAATGATCTATTTTCTTGAAGTACCTGCTATTTAGTACGTTCGTTCTCTCGATAACAGCATTAATATTGTCGTTAGCTGTTGAATTTAACTCTGTTGTCCTACTTAGTTTCCAACTCCATACTGTAAAACATTAAATAGCAGATTTAATAGTAAATAATTTAATATAAAATTACAAGTTAAAACTTCATTAAAAGTCATCCACTTTCATTAACTAAGAACTTAACTTCGCTGTATTCGTAACACGTAACCTTATCTTAGCAAACGGTAGATTAAACAATTTGTTTTACTATACCTCTCCTCTCATTATTCTCAAGGTTTTTGCAGCTGTATACTAATGCATATGAATCATAGTCGGTATGCAAGACCCAGTAATCAGCAGCTTCAGTAGCTGAAACACAAAAGTATTAATATAGTTTCTAGTCAATTCGTAATCATGTCGTCAGCTCATGAGACTGCTTACTTGTAGGAAATTTAACAGAGAGCTTAGCAGATCCATCGGAGCTGGCTAAGGAGGCGATTCCAGTAATGGTGTCCAGTTCTTCATTGATGACTTGACTATTAAGTGCTGAGACCGTACCGTCATTGAGTAACGTGTACGTTGCATCGTTACATGCTCCACGTTGAAAATCTGAGTGATAAGTTTCAAGCATACGCCAGCGGCCGCCATACTAAAGTTTAAATTTAATAAATTTATCGACTAAAATACCATAAACAACGGAATAAAAATATATAAAATATTTCTTACCCTGGTGACGTTGAAATCTCTAACTACTGGTATATCAGTATCACATATCCCAGGGAATATAACAGGTTCTCCCATGGGAACATCCGGTAAGTAGAAACAGGCAGAGTCGGATTGGTCGATATTCTCATAGTATTGACGGTCTAAGACATCAATGTCACTCATCGCAGAAGTTATAGATTGATTGCCAGCGGCGGACATTGTTTTAGATCTGCTCAATTGCCAACTGAACACTGAAATAAATGGTGGGATTATTAAATCAAACTTGAACCCAAGATATGATGATCATAATAGAGTTATTGTGCGAGTGTCTCACCTCTTCGTCTATCATTCGGGATATCTACACAAGAGTAAGCCAACGCGTAATCTTCGTAGTCTGTCCTTAAAACCCAAAAAGGGATTTCGACTTCTAAAAAGGTTTCAAAAGATTTAATAGGTTCTAATATTTAAAAACGACATAGAAATTCAAGTAAAATATTCGTATTCTCTTTACCTGATCCATTGGTTCTAATAGTGATGGTTAATTTGCCGCTCGGGTCTTGAGCAGACGTAAATGTAACATTGCTATTAGTTTGTATTAGACCCTGGTCTAGAACTTGTTTTGAAATAAGCCGCAAGGCATTTGAGCCGGCTTCAGAGTAAGTATGGCTAACGCACTGTCCCGTCTGTTGTTCCTTAGGGTACGCCTGTACTTCATACCAGGTACCTCTAAACTGGAAACGAGCAACAGTTTTAAAGTAGGACTAACGCAAGAAGAAATATATCTTATTTGGTAATATTCGACTAGATATTACTTACAGCTGTGAGATTAAAATTAGGCACCGCAGGAATGGTTTGATCACATTTTCCAGGAAACTCGACGACCTTCCCAGGTGCAGGATCAGGGAAATAGAAACATGCTTCGGCGCTTTGGTTATTGGGCTCATAATACTTTTGATTAAGGACTGGGATTGTGCTTATTACAGCGTTGATAGCAGTTTGTGCACCAGGTGTTAGCGATTTGGAACGACTTAATTTCCAGCTCAACACTAAAAATATGTTTTAAAATTGTACATTAATTTTATTTAGTCTTACTGTTTCTGCATTACAAAAACTAAGTTAATATTATAGTAAACTAAGTAAATATTAAACTAAAACTAACTTTTTAGTGATAAAAACATAAGTTATATTTTCCGTACCTGCCCTATGTTCTTCATCTACATTATAGCAGGTGTAAACAAGTGCATATGAAATATAATCAGTAGCTAGAATCCAGTAATCTGTGGACGTCGTCTCTGAAACGTTGCGAATTGTTATTATTTTTGCGTCGGTACGACGAAGAATTTCATTTCTGTGTTATATAAATAGGATTTATTGTCCCATATTTTTTGTTATCGCAACAGAAAATGTAACTCACGATTAGTGCCTACAATGGGAAAGCTAACAATAAGCTTTCCAACGTCCGCGGCGCCTGCGAGATTAGCTGTTCCTCGAATGGTGTCCAGTTGTCTATTGATGACTTGAGTATTATATACGTCGACATCGCTAGTAGTACCAGCAGAGTAAAATGCGTTGTTACATGTACCAGTTTGGAAAGTTGATGGATACGATTCAATATTGTGCCATAAGTCGAGATACTGAAAATACGATTCAAGGTCTTAAGTTTTGGGATAATTTATGAAATAAATTAAATACAACAGAATGTATTGTAGACAGATCCATTTAAAATATGAACCATTTTTTTTATTTTTTAACCTTTTAATGCTTTTTTTATTTTCATGGGGTATATTTTTAAATTATTATGAAATTGACTTACACGACCAGCTTCAAAATTAGGGACCGTTGTTATGTTCTGATCACATTGGCCACGGAATATAACCGGATATGGTCCAGGAGGTGGTAGGTAAAAGCAGGCATCATCTGATTGATCCACCTTTTGAAAATATTTATTATTCAATTCTCGAATGTTGTTCATAACTGTGTTAATGCGGTTCGTCGCGTCTTGGGTAAGGCTTCTTGTACGACTCAGTTTCCAACTAAATACTGTAAAAGAATTATGTTAAATTAGCCGCTATTGTCTTATAATAATAAACATCAAATGTTTCATATTTAGCAAAATATTACACGTAAAATCTCAATCAGATACATAGTTTTTTTACTTGACTTTCTTAAATTTCCTGCAATACCTATTTAACTCTCGGTTAACTGTTTTTGTTCTGTTAGGTTTGTAGACCAGTGTTTTTATACTGATTTAAAGTTACTAAAGAATATAAACATTCAACTTCGCATATGTACTATATTTTTTGTCGTGGTACTTACTTCTTTTTTTATTATCAGGTAGGTTGGTACAGCTATAGACAAGGGAATATGATTTGTAGTCGGTATTTATAATCGTGATGTATGCTGGATCTGGACCTGAAATTATTTTAATCAATACTTTATCTAAATGTCAAAAATGTTTAGTATTATTAATAAAGTATTCATTTATTTTTAAGGACATGTTATTTCTTTCTCTACATAAGTAAAAAGTCGGCATTCAATCTAGATGCATCAGCGTCTGCCAAACCTTGTTTAATACTTACTATTTGGAAAAGTAACTTTTAGCTTTCCATTACTTTCAACTTCTGCAGTACCGGTAACACTGTTAAGTTCATCGCCAACTACTTGCGAGTTAACAACGTCCACTGTGTTCCCGCTTCCAGCGGAGTAATATGCTTCATTGCAAGTGCCAGTCTGTTGCTCAGCTGGATAGGATTCTATTAAGCGCCAACGACCTAAATACTGCCAATAAAATTGTATACTTAATCTCATTTATAAAATTCTCGTGTCACAATGTTCGTTCCCATACTCCTCCGAAACGGCTCGACAGATTCTTATGAAGATTTTTTATAGATATTCAGTAAGTCTGAGAATCGGCTATTATCTTATCTTTAATATCTTTCAAACCCCTAAGTGATAAGGGTCCACCCCAATTTTTTTAATGATACAGCATACTACAATACATACAACCCCTAATTTTCACCCGTCTACGATCAACCGCTACTTTTTATTATTTTAGATAGTAAAGGCAAAACAACGTTTGCCGGGTCAGCTAGTAATTTATAAAATTTCAAATATTAACGTGAAAATTAGCATACGCTCATGGAGTACAGGATATATATCTGTCAATGTTTTACTGATCACTTTCAAAAGTAGATATCATATTTCTACCAAACCGATACTTCTTAAAACTTTTAACAAACGATTACGGAGTCCGTTCACTTTTAACTCTGTATATTTTCCTACCTCAGTTGCGTTGAAGTTTTCGACAACTGGTATATCCAAATCACATCGGCCTTCGAGTATAACGGGTTCACCAGGTGCCAGATCTGGCAAATAAAAGCAGGCGTCGTCTGTTTGTTCTACATTTTCATAGTAACGACTTTCAAGAACGACTACATTTGACATCACGTTGTCTATATTTCGACTCGCTTCTGCTGAGAGTCTGCTTTGGTTTCTGCTTAGTTTCCAGCTGTAAACTAAATTTTAAAGATTATTTAAATATCTTAGAAAAACGTGTTTATACTAACAATTAATTAAAAGTTTAGTTGGTAATGTCAATAGCATAGGACTAATTAATGTATAGAAATTACTATCCAAAATTAGCTATTAGGAAAATCTTTTAAGATATCAAATCAGGCTAAATCTTTACTCTCTATTTTCCTTTTTCTTTAAGATACTTTATATGTACAGTTGTAAAGAGCTTACTTGCTCGGCGGTCTTCTTCTAAATCCATGCAGCTGTAAGCGAAGGCGTAATCGTTGTAGATTACGCTCAAAATCCAAAATGGTATTGTTATTGCTGAAAAGAAAGATGTCAAGTTAGTGTTTTGTAAAAAAGCCACCAAAACAAATAAATTTTGAAATAATTTTGATGTTGGAACTTAGGGAGCGTTCAAGTATTACGTCACGCAATTTGTGGAGATTATTGACCCCCCCACTCCCCCCCGTGTAACGCGGCGTAACGTTTTTCTGTAACCAAGTATAGTAAAACGTTTCGTGACCACCTAGTGACTCTTTATACCTAAAAGTTACCATTACGTTTTGTAAAGTACTGAAAAGTCGAATAATATTAACAATAACGCGTAATTCAATCCCCGCCCCGCATCGTAACGTTTAACAAAAGGAAGCCCCCTCCCCTCCAAAATTCGTAACGTAATACTTGAACGCTCCCTTATCTTTCGTGCAATTTGAAAAACTTACTTGTTCCATTGGGTCCAACTGTGTTAATACTTAATTTTCCACTAGATCCATTTGTAACTAAATCACTTATGGAAATTCTAAGAAATTGATTATCAACGCTAGATGTTGTTAGTGTTAGGTTATTTTCTGATTGGGAATACTCATGTTTGATGCATTGGCCGGGTTGAAATTCTTTTGGGTAAGCTTGGATTTCATACCATACATCCGTGAACTAAAATAAATTGAAACCATATTTTTATCTGTTCTCATGATATGACTATAGCACAGATCCAAAATAAAAAATACCATATACTAATAAATAACTGTAGAGTAACGGATTAATTAATGAAATATTTTTTGTATGTTTTGCGCAGATTTTAATTTAATAAAATATAATGTATTATTTCACATTTTGCGTAGTTTTTGAGTGAACCTATTTCATTTTTCTTGAACTTTATAAGTAAATATTTTAAAGTGTTTTGAAACCAGCTACTTACAGAACTTGCGTTAAAATTATTTATAACAGGGATGTCATCATCAGAACACTTTCCTGGGAACACAACAGGGACTCCAGGTCTCTCTTTAGGATAATAGAAACAAGCAGTCTTGTTCTGATTATCCTTTTCAAAGTACATCTGATTTATCACGGGAATGTCTCTACTAACAACGTCGAATGCCGTATCAGCTTCTGCAGGTAATTCCTTTGTTCGACTAAGTTTCCAGACAAACACTGTAAATATTTTACATTTTATTAGAATGTGTTAAGAGCAATTTCAACTAGTTATAGTAGTGTTGGCTAAATGTCTGAGCACGTATAATAACTGGTCGTGCGTTCGAATCATTCGAACTATTAATAAATAAACACAAAGATACATAAATAAACATTTCTATCTTTGTGTTCGCACAATTAAGTAAAACCTTTTCTGAAAACTAACGGAGTTTGCCACTGACGGCTGATTATAAAGGCATTGTTTCTTTTCATTTTAATCAGTCATTAAGAAGCCGTAAATTTACGCGCTACTTTCAAAGTATTTGTGCTTTTTTGTGGGAAATATGTTTTTCCCGACACCATTATTGTTTTTTAAAGGGGCTAAGAAAATTAAGATTAAAGAGATTTTCTTATGAGTACGTATTTAAAATGCTAATTCTATCTAATATAAAAATAGTCTTACTAACTACGTCTAGATTTTACATTTATTATCATCTTTTATATTATGCCAATTTTAATATAAATATACAAGGAACAGATAGCGAACCTGATCTTTCATCTTCGTTAAGATTTGTACAAGAGTAGACGATGGCGTATGACTCATAATCAGTTGAAAGGATCCAGTAGTCAGTTAAAGTTGTTCCTGCAAAAGAACACGACTGTTAAACAAAATTGTTCATATTGTAGCCCTCTAATAATGTATTTTGACGCTAATTTATATAAATTAATAAATAGGCATACTACGCTTAATTAAATAGTTTTATAAGTAAAACATTAATAAAGTAGAAGGCCGGCTAGATATAAAATAAAACCTACACCTACTAATAAAATAAATTGAAAATTTATTACAAGTAACAATTGACCCAGCGATGGTCAATGCTTTAATTCAAATAATATAAATACGTATATGAAAAATAAAGTCTTAAAGTAAGATTTACCTATATACATACAAGTAACATGATAAATTTTCCCAACAGAAAAATTAAGTTGGTATACTTCTCTGTTAGATGTCTATGTAGGCACATTGTGACCCGAATGCAGAGTACTAATTTATTAAAATAGATGTAAGGTCCAGGATTAAAAGTGATTTTCTATGTAAAGCTTTTCCATAACTATCTCCATAATTTAATTAGCAACAGCGATCTTTGGAAACTTTTATGGTTTATAAAGCTAGCTTTTAGAATGTATTTAAAATTCATATGACTTATTTGAAATTAAAATCAAATTAAAATTAACTGCATTCGAAGGTAGCATCCATTCATTCATGCAAAAAATATGAAATAATAAAAAAGAAATCATAAAAAATTAAACTGCACTTTGTTTGATTAAAATATTTTAATTAACACAAATATGCTTTCCTTGATTGACGCAATAATTTAATAGTGTTTTTATAATGTTTAATGATTGATGTTTATAATTATATTTATCTATTATTATTAATCATCTGAAACTGTATGTATGTATATTCAAGATAGACGAAAGACAAAGTAAGATGCAGATTTCAGATGCCATTACCAATTAATTAATTTATGTGTATTAAAAAAATACTCAAATTAATTAAATAAATGTATGTTTGCTAATAATACCTATATTAGGTAAGGGCTTTAAAAAAAACTTAAATATTGAGTGATCAGTGAAAATATTAATGTTAAATTGTAAACCACTTATTATGCCTTGTTTAAGGCATAATAAGGGAAAGTAAATGGAGGTAGTAACACTGATACATCGCAAAAGAGCAGAAGAGATAAGATTAACGACCATAGTAGAGGATAATATAAAGAAAATAAGGCAAAATGGCGCTGGACCGGACACATGACGAGAGATAGCAGGTTGAAATAGACAAAAATTATATCAGAATGGCAACCACAAGATGCAAAAAGAAAAAGAGGAAGACAGACTAAGAGATGGGCAGACAATAAAAAGAGAATAGGAGGCTCAACTTGGACAATAAGAGCTAACATTAGAAAAGAATGGAAGCAGCTGGAAGACGCCTATGTGTCGCAGGACAAGCTGATCTTCAAACGGCACGGCTGATGTATTAGATTAAGTTAGGTTATCTTAAACAAGTGTTTATATATATTATACTAGATGTCAGCAATAAAGTTTTAATAATAATATTATGCCTTGTTTAAATTTACAATTCTTTTATTTCGTTTAATTTAAATAAATAAGTAGTTAATTTTGTTCTTGAATTTTGTAGAATTTCGAATACGTCGGACGGAGAAATTGTGACCAATTTGTGTCGACCGTCACAATATTTTCTGCATACTTTTTTAAAAAAATTTATGGCAGTCCTGAATTTATCGTTTAAAACAATAAATTTAAATCTTCTAAAACGAAAATAACTGAGGTATAGTGAAAATATTTCATAGGTCCGTACGTTTGTAAATTTAAAGCAAGAAATTCCAGTGCTTAAAAACTGTAATGTTTTTTCGTTCATGACCCTGAGTTAGTTACCAAAAGTTATTCAAATAATAATGGTAATTAATTTTGCAAAATTGATAAGGCTAAGTGCGAGTTCAATAATAAATTAGCTGAAAAACAAGCGCTAGAATGATAAGATTAATTACATTTTATATTAGTCAAAATAATTTTATCGTGGAACAAAATACGACGAATTAATTAATTGTACATAAAGATTTTTATAATTAAATTTTCGTATCAAAGTTATTTATTTCTACTATTAAAAAGCTCAAAAGGAGGAGGGTTACCAATTTCGCAGTTATTTTAATAAGAGTAAAAATTACAAATCGTGTTTATGTTGACAGCGTATCCTTTATATTGCTTTTTTATTCTTATTAACTTAAATAAATATCTCTTTTGAGATTAACTTTAAGTATTTTGAGACATGGGACTGAATGCAAACTTGGCTGTTTGAAACAAAGTTTAACATAAACTTATGAGAAATAAAAAGATATTGAAAAAAAACTCTAACTTTGATTTTGTTCCCTTTGGAGTAGACTCTTGAGCCATGGGGTTCAAGTGCACAGGCGCTAATTAAAGATTTAAGTTGGCGCCTGGTAGATAGTATCGGTGCCCCAGAGCTGGTGCTTTCCTCGCTCTCGAGATACGAATAAGTATCGAAATACAGCGAGGGAATGTTCCTAGCGTTAAAGGTACACTGCCACAGGCTCCAGACTTTTTAAATTTGTTTTCATTTTCTATTTAGTAATTTTTAATATTTTTTTTTTTAAAGACAATTCACACCAATTGACCTAGTCCCATGCTAAGCTGGTGAAGCTTGTGTTATGGGCTATTACTAGGCAACGGATATACATACATATTATATATAGATAGACATATAAATACATATTTAAACACCCAAGACCTAAGAACAACACCAAATGCTCATCACATCGATGTTCGTCTCAGCCGGGGATCGAACCCGGGACCCATGGATTCGCAGTCAGGGGTACTAACCACTAGACCAATGAGTCGTCAAAATTATTATGACTATTTAGGTTGAGATAGTGATACATAGCTGATTTCTAATATTAGCAGTAATGTTGTAATACCAATTTTCTTGTGATTGCAAAAATAACGTTAGGTAAGAAACATTCAAACGATTCGTTCTATACAGAACCATCCGAATTTGCAATATCTATTTTATGAACACAGTTATCTTAAAACTATAACTTACGATTGGTTCCAGGTATTGGAAAACTGACTTTCAGTCTGGCACTGCCATCGTTTGATACGGTGGCTACTCCGTTAATAGTAAGAAGTTCCTCTCCGATGACTTGAGTGTTGAAGACATCAACGGTACCATCATCAGCCAATGAATACCTTGCATTTCTGCAGGATCCTGGTTGGTTCGGAGATGGGTATGACTCGATGTTATGCCAAAGGCCCAGGTACTGAAATAGAACGCAACGTGAAAAACGTACTATTTTTATATCGACTTCGAAAAAGAAAGATAATTTTCAGAATTTGCCATCAGTGGTTGACTAGTTGGCTGGATCGGTAACTCTCTACTCTCTTAGGTCGTGCTTAGGCTATGAACTAATGAAATCCATCTAATCTCTAGTAATTTTCTTTTAAAAAAAAAGAGTGGCGGAGAGTTTATTGCCAGTTCTTCTCTTCCGTTCTATGCCCTTGATTTGGGAACTGGCAGTAAATGTAAAATTAGAAGCATATATTTCTTTGTTGACGTGCATAAGTGTACATTGTGTTACCTACATGAATAAATGATTTTTGACTTTTGCCTTTTTTTTTTTCAGTCTAATCAGTCTTTTTATCTGCGCCTTTAACGTTCAATAGACGAAAAAATTGCCGACGTGTGTTACACAGGAAAGGTGTGTTATCATTATTTAGTCCATTAAGAAAAAAATAGGAAATACAAAAATCTGACGCCATGACCATTTTGTTTCTCTTAATTTTTCGTTCGCTGTTTGTTCCCAACGCTCGGTAAAACAGAAAGTCCATTTAGCAAACATACTTTTTTATACAACAAGCGGCTAAATTCATGGCACAAGAAGACTCGTGCTGCTGCTTATTTAATCCTTACCTGAGATGCTGTAAAGTTCGTCATCACTTTTATATTCTCATCACATTGGCCCCGAAACACGACAGCCTTCCCAGTTGGCGGAGGAAGATAGAAGCAAGCATCGTCAGTTTGGTCAGCGTCCACAAAATACTGTCTGCTTAAATCGTAGTAGGAGTTAATTACTGAGTTAACTTCGGTTCTCGCTCCATCAGTTAGGTTACGTGATCGGCTTAGGATCCAGCTGGTCACTAAAATTAGTTCAAGGTATATAATATTTATAATTAACTATTTAGGAGCTTATTAAAGATTTAAGTTGGCGCCTAGTATATAGTACTGGTGACCCCAGAGCTGGTACTTTCCTGGCTCAACGACTAAGTATCACAATACAGCGAGGAACCGCTGCCAGCGTTAAAGGTAGGAACACTGCCACAGAGACCACACTTTTTAAATTTGTTTTGATTTTCTTTTTAATAATTTTTATTATTACTTTGATTGAAAATAAAAATATTACATACGAGTACTATATTTATAATATTGTCGTATGTATAAGATTAACCGGGAGCAAATATAAATAAAATGTCATTAATTGTAATATAATTAAAAAATACATTCAATAACACCAAATAAATAGTTAGTTTTAAGTATTAATTTTTAATTAAAATAACAAAATTGTCTCAAAGTTCCGCGCGCTTTACAGATTTTGAAACGATGATTGTTAATTACATACTATGATAGTTTATTTGCAACACACAAATATACAGTATTTACAATTTTCTTAACCTATATATAAAAAATAATAATTAATAATAATAAAAAGTTTGGTCCCTGTGTACCGTTAACGCTATTTAAATTTCGGTAATTTATATTTTCTTTTCAATGTCACTTAATGTTAAAATTATATCTACTGATAAAAATATTGAACCAAGCTTTCGATAGTATAAAGTTTATCAAATTTTCCTATGCAATTTATAAGAAATAAATAACAAGAATGCTTTATTCCTTAAATAATGATAGTTGACACTTGTATGTGCCAAACAATGTTAATTATAACTTGACATTTAGATTTATATTAATATTTTACATTTTATTACTATTAAAAAACACTTTGTATTTTCTATGATAACAAATGCAGTTTTGATCAAGTTTCTTCATGATTATTCAATGAGCATATTTTAAAAAGTCAGTCCGCTTTTTTTTTTTTGCTTTTTTTTGGTATTTGCATTAATGCTAAAAGATTGTTATTTCCTGCCTTGATATTTTTATCAAGCTATTTGGACGTAATAGTTTGATTTATGTAAAGCTATATCTATCTGTAATATCAAGACAAATATAATTTCCAAATAGTTCGCGTGATCAATTGTAAATTTTTAAATAACGTAAATGTAAACTATTCTAAACTTAAGATATTAGTCTCCGGCTAATTAAATCCACATTAAATTAAGATTTACCTTGCTTCCGATTTTCATCTAAGTCCACGCACGTATAGGAAACTGCATAGGTATTGTAATTCGTTGCTAGAATCCATAGCGGCTGGGTCACAAAATCTGGAAAATATGATATTATAATATCGATTATAAGATTATTTACGTGGCTGTGATTGTACAAACATATTGGGCTTGTAATTTATGACAAGTAAACATGGAAAGCGCACACAGAACACATTTGTGTAGGCGAAGGGGTTCTAAGAATTCAAAATCATTTATACATTTAGGTAACACAATGTACACTTATGAACGTCAATAAAGAAAAACATATTAAGACTAAGAAGAAATCTTAATATATATATTTCTTCTGTGCGTGTGTATGTGACTGAACTCCTCTCAAACCACTGGACCGATTTTGATGAAATTTTTTGTGTGTGTTCAAGGGGATCTGGGAATGGTTTAGATTCACAAATCAGCCCGGCAGATGGCACTGCAGTCGGTACTTTCATACTTTGCTTAATATCCTAATCGCTTTAAATATCATGCAGGACAACGTCTGTGGGGTCCACTAGTATTTTTATAAAATCTAAACTAAATGTTACTTTACTTAATTTTATATTAGACTTTATATAAGATAAAGTTAATGTAATAAAAAACTATTTAAAGTTTTGTCTCTTAACGAAATTTTATGTATTTACAACTGCCGACGGCCGTCAAATATAAAACGATAGGGCAGCAGTGGAATGTGTAATTAATTACGGACTAAGCAGCTATGGCAAAACATCCAAATCAAACTTAAAACAAATCGTCGACTAACAATATCGCATTGTAAAATATATTAGAACGATAGGAAACGAATAATAAAAGTGGTTTTTTAAAAATATTGTTAAGTGACGAATATAAAAATCTATTGGCAATCCTGACAGCAATGCCTGCACACTTAGATAACTAAGTGATATTGAAGGCGAGACTGCCAATGAAAGCTGAATTAATTAGCAACCAAACAATGGTGCACAGCCTGCCCTGCGATTCTGTAACTCACTTTTCGAACTCACACAGCTGTTTTGGCATTCTAATAAACAATAAACTACAAGCTCCCACCTTTTCAGAATGTCAAATCATAAAATGACTGCTTCACGACTGATTTGAAAGCGACCGCCGATGCGAAAACCGCTGTGTGAGTTCGAAAAGTGAGTTACAGAATCGCAGGGCTGGTTCGGACCACAGCTAAGCTCGTACTTCTTTATAAATCTGAATTCCGTTAAATTTTTTTTTTCCTACTAACTGAACTGATGATATAAGCCAAGAAATCAAAAATTCCCTGACTCATAACTGACTGGCTGAAAATTTCGTAGGCGTTATCCAAATATTCGTTTTAGTAAATCACTTCTCAACGGTGGATTTTCCTGGTGCAGACTTCAAATAATGTTTATCAATTCAAGCTTCGGCTTCAATAGTATTTATTTTCCCAATTTTTATTAATTTTTTTTAAACAAACTAAAGTTCCTTTACCCAAAATACTATATCTCACAAACCAATAGTACGACAGTTGTAAAATTTATACACGTGTTTTTTGAAGGACTAACTAAAAATCATATTAATTTAACACTAGTAGCGCCATCTATCTATGAACCTTCAGCCAACCGAGTAAAATAACCGTAACAATTCTCTGATCTTGTTTGGTATGAACTTCAAAGTTTAAAACAGGTCTTGTAACGTCGCCGAAGTGGTTCTGCAGGGCATGGAACTCTTTATTCCATTTTCTGCGGTGCCGATCGGTGGCAAGTCTCAGCCCTGGTTTAAACGTTCTTGCAAGGCGGCCTCGCGTCGAAAGCGAGAATGCTTTAAGGCATGGGCGGAAGCGGCGAAATCTCGTGATGCCAATACCAGCGAACTTAAAAAAGCATATAACTCAGCCTCCAGGTCCTTCAAACGGGAAATCACTAAGGCAAAGTCAGAGCACATTGCCAGATTTGGCGAGAGATTGGCCCAACTCCCATCAGGGACTCGAGCCTTCTGGTCTCTCGCCAAAGCTGTCCAAGGGAATTTTTGTAGCCCGCCATTCCGCCACTGCACAGGGAGGATGACTCTCTGGCCCACACTGCGAAGGAGAAGGCTGACCTTTTGGGCTGTCTCTTCGCGTCTAACTCGATTTGGATGACCGAGGGAGATCACCACCGACCATTTCGCGGTGTGATTCTTCGATGCCGGAAATCACATTCCGGCAACGTGCTGTCCGCAAAGCACTATCTTCCTTGGACATTCATAAGTCGAGCGGGCCGGATGGTATCCCCCAATTGTGTGCGTACTGTGCGAGTTGGTGGTAACGCGCCTTTTCCGGTACCTGTACTCGCTCGGCACTGTCCCGAAGTGCTGGAAGACCGCTTTGATACATCCGATCCCTAAAAAGGCGATCGCTCTGATCCGCCAACTATCGCCCAATAGCTATAACCTCCTTGTTCTCCAAAATAATGGAATCCATTGTTAAGCCAGCTCTTGAGGTATCTAGAGGGCCACCAGCTGATTAGCGATTATCAGTACGGCTTTCGTCGTGGTCGTTCGGCTGGGTGACCTTCTTGTATACCTTACACATAGATGGGCAGAGGCAATGTGAGTCCAAGGGGGAGGCGCTAGCGGTTAGTTTGGACATAGCGAAAGCCTTCGATCGGGTGTGGCACAGAGCACTGCTCTCGAAGCTTCCAGCCTATGGGCTTCCCAAAAAATTACGCAATTGGATCTCCAGCTTTCTGGCCGATCGGAGCATCAAGGTCGTATGAGGAGCATGTTCCGACCTAAAACCCGTAAACGCTGGGGTCCCACAAGGCTGTGTTCTATCCCCGACCCTATTTCTTCTGCATATCAATGATATGTTGAAACTTAGCAACATTCATTGTATGCGGATGACAGTACTGGGGATACTTTTTACACTGGCCGGGCAGGTATTTCTGGGCAGTTGTTGATGAGTACCGGAACAAACTTGTGTCTGAAGTTGAAACTCTACTTGTGGAGTCTCAGATTGGGGCAGACAAAACCTAGTCAATTTAACCCCAAGTTTGCGCGTTTTCCGCTAAAAACACCCTTTGTCGCTACTCCTCTTTTCGAAAACACTCTTCTTAAAGCCAAGCCAGCATTGGAATACTTGGCGTTGACATATCGAGTGACGTTCAGTTCGCGGTCATTGGAGGGAAAGGCTAAATTAGCCTCCAAAAAGCTGGTGTGCTCAGTAAGGCGAGACGGTACTTCACTCCGGGCCACCGCATGCAACTATATAAAGCGCAAATTCGGCCCCACATGGAGTACTGCTTCCCCTGGGGGGGGTCCCCAGTACCAGCTCCTTCACTTGACCGTATACAACGAGAGGGTTCGATTTGACGACCAATCCCTCTCGAGCGGTTGATCCTTTGGCGTTGCGTAGAGATGGGGGTCATTGCATCTCTACCGCATTACCATGGAGAGTGTTAGAGGAGTTGTTCGGATTAATACCTGAGAGTATCATCGGACGTCGAGGCAGAATACGAAATCCCCCGTATCACCTCGACGTCCGACGTTCCACAACTGAGCTTCTCAGGTTTTTGCCGCGACCACCACTATGTGGAACAGCATGAAGTATTCCCGAACCAATTCGATTAGGGTCCTTCAAGAAAAGAGCGTACCAATTTTTAAAAGGCGGAACGCACTCGCGAGCCCTCTGGCATTGAGATGTCCATGGGCGGCGGTATCACTTAACATCAGGTGAGCCTCCTGCCGTTTGCCCCCGTTCTATAAAAAAAAAAAAAAAAAAATTACTACTAATTGTGCAGAAAAAATATCTAAATGCATTATTCCTGATATTATTTTAAAAACTTTTTGTCAGTAAATGACGTACCTCTCTTATTGATTGATTCAAAGAACTGGTTTTTGGTTGTCATTATTATATCGTTTCGTTATTACATTGGACTTTGCATTCATTAGTAATGAAACCTATTTAGATATGACCTGTTTAGTGGCCTTGTAATAAAACGCTGGCTGATTTAAAAATAATAATCTTAAATATTATAATCAATTATTACTGCAAATTGGCAAGATAAAACAAAAATACTTCTTGTACTGAAACCCATCACGAGAAAGACTTTCAAAATGTATCACAGATTAATATAGAATTTACAAATGTTTTTACAAATGAATAAAATATTTTCTTGAATTTTAAAGAGTATCCAGATATCATAATGTAACAAAAATTTAAATTGATATCCTACATAATATAACCGGGTATTTGACCTTTCAATACATACATTTTCTTGTTTTTGTCTTAGTATATATATCTGAATGATAGGTAGTCTCTAAAACTAAAAACATCTCATTTCGATTACCTAGGTTATCAAAGTTCTTTCGATAACCCTGTAGAGGGGGTTATTACACTTTTTAATAACATTTAAAAAAGAGGTTGAATCTTAACTGAACGTGTCATTCTAAATTTAAAAATTGATGGGTTGATAGATTTTTAGTCTCTGGGATATTTGTCTGTGTGACGATGCCAATTCACGATTTTTGCAGGTTCAAGGTTCAAAAAAATTTATATAATTGGATAATCTTTAAATGTTCAATATAAGATGTCAACACGGTTTTATGTTAAAATGACATAGAGCATCTATTAATTTTGCATTATAAGGAGATAATAAATCTATAATATTAAAATTTCAACTTCTAATTGACGGCCGTCGGCACTTTAAAATACATAAAGTTTGATGAAGATGATAAGAAATAAATCCTGGGTCATAAAAAAAGACGTTGTATTCAACTCATGCGTCATTTGTCAACCTATCGATCTGTAGTTATGACAATTCTCGTAGTTTTCTACCGTAGTAGAAATCAGTATAAGTATACACGCTTAATGATGTTCTCTATACTTTCACCTCAAATGTATCGGATTTTGTCAAACGGGTTCATAGTTCGCGCAAAGTTTTGTTTCACAATATAATACTAAATATTATTTGGTGCATGAATTCTATGAACCTTAAATGGAAAATTACTGATTAGTTACATAGTTTTTGGGATCCTTATTTCATAAAGGATTATAATTGAAAGATATAAGTATAATATATAATTATATTATAAGTATGATTGAAAGGGTTCAAAGAAAAGCCACGAAAATGATCAGGTCACTAAGGAAGAAATCTTATAATGAGCGTCTGAAAGTTGACCTTACTGATTTAGGAAGTAGGAGATTAAGAGGAAATCTCATTGAAACCTTTAAAATCCTCACTGGCCACTATAATGCTCCAGGAATTGAGAAGCTCTTTATTTTAAGTGAAAATACACATTTGAGGGGTAGTTCTTTAAAACTTAAGACCACTCAACATAACACAAATTTCCTAAAGAACTTTCTCCCAAACCGAGTAGTGGCCGACTGTAGCTTCCGGAAAGTGTAATCAGTGCACCATCTTTGAACTCCTTTAAAAATAGATTGGATAGTTTCTCCAAATCTCAAAATACACGAGCATCAGCTTATTAAGCTGCTAGTGTGTTTATATACATAATAATAATAGTCAGCAGCGTTCTTCGTAAATCCTGTTACTTTTTTTCTTTAAATATGTTAACTTTTAAATAATTGTGTTAAACTAAATTTTAACCTTATTCCTTTTTAATGAACAATGTTTCGGAACAGCCTTTTATAATTACACGTCTTTACCAATATTTCAGAATATTTTTCCTACCCACCTCACCTACAAAGTCAAAATTGCTCAAAGTAAGGTGGGGTTTCTGAAATAGCAGCTAAACTGCTTCTATTTTGATATTATCTATTTAATCAGCATAATTACAACACATTTCAATTAAATAGCCGATAAAATTATCTTAGATATTTTATCACAACCGGTAATTGGTAACGGTCATTCATAATTTCTTTATAAACATTCATATTAATTATGTCAAGCCATTGTGCAATATTTAAGTCGAACTTAGTAACAAATTTTCTTTTAACAAGATTACTTGTATTTAGTCGAGATTTTTTCGATCTATTAAATAATATAATCGTTATTCGTTTATTTAGTTAATTTAAACAAAATCCACTATCTATTGGTGACGAATTAAATAAAATATGTTCTACGGAATTGAGTTTTTGAGGTTATCGCATTTATACAGATAGGTGCGATAGGAACTTTAATTCCTTATTTGTTTGTACTATTTTAATTAGGTGAACGCAGAGTTGAATTGAAGGTTTGTAATATAATAGTTAACAGGTGCTATTACTGGATAATAAAAATTCGAGCAAGACATTTTTTTGAAGTTATACTTCTTTAGGCGCGTTATGAAAAATTGATGAGAGTGAAATTTTACGATGCGCGCGCACCGTGACACAAAATTATCAGTATGAAGTTGCCCACTAACGAATTCTTTTTAAACCAGCCGGGCGACGAGCGTGCGCGAGATGGGAATACGACAATCTACAAGTAAAAAGAAATAGAATATGCGTGAAGTTAGCAGCTATGCCAAGAATTTTGAATGACCATAATGACCTTTGTAGTACCTTTTAAATAAATAAAGGAATTTTAATTACTTTTCAAAGAAATTTAGCAATGCTTTTTCACAAAGACCTATTGTTGTTTAGTTAACACGTTCGTTGCATTACGAGATCTATTATCTTTGAGGACTTTTTATTGTGGTTGAACAAACGGTTTTTCACTCTTGGGGAGGATCTAACTTGTAAAGTTCTTTAAGTATGAGCAGGACAAATATATAATTTGCTTCCTACTTAAAGCTGAATTAAAGGACATTAAAAAAAAAATTAGAGATGGATTAGGTCCCTAACGCACAGTACTGTAATTGTTTTAATTCCTTGCGATAGATGATATGTAAAATCGTACGCCTCGTAGACGCAAGAGAGGGAGGATGGGCGACGCGGGCGCTGCATGACTCTTTTAGTGTTGTTAGAATCAAGGGAAGTGAAAAAATGTTGGAAAATGTCAAATTTCCCCCTTTGGCTAACAATGACAGTGATGCTGATTATGAAATATTTGACGTACCTACAAAGAAAACGATGAAACTTTTTCGTTGGAACACGCAGTTAAACAGCATGACCTTCTAAAAAATCTAAACGAATTGTTATACTATTGGCGTAATGTGCAAGCAATCAATGTGCTTACCATGTTTAAATGAAAACACTTTGATAATTAATAAAACTTTTAGAATCATAACTGAGATATTATTTTATTCCCATTATTACTACACATATTGAACTATCTTCGGGTGCGGTACGAGATACAATCGATATCTAATTTTTTTTTGGTATTTGTAGTTTATTAAAAATGTCGTAACTGGTGCGAACCTAGCAAAATATAAAGCAATAAGCTATCTTTCACCCACAAAAACTTCAAAATATATGTATTTTTTTTAAAAAAATATTTTCATAACTTTTTTAGGAACTGATTAGTTAAAAAGGATAAGCTTGTTAAATTTTATTATGAAAGGTAAGGTTATGAAACATACCTAGTTATGAAATTGAATGAATAATATAATAAAATAATAAATAATAATAATAATTATTATTAATTAATAATTAAATAATATACTAAATATTAAATATTATTAACGTTAAATTATTTATTATTAATTATTTAATATTTAAAAAAAATAAAGAAAGCCAAAGAAGTATAACTTCTTACGCGCGTACGTAGGTACACCCACCCTTTTTTTACAATAACACCATTACTAACCGATCCCGCTCGCGTCCAGGGTTCGATTTCTAGGAAGACAGGATTGGGATTCGGCATAAACAAGAGGAAAAGGAAAATTACTAGAAAATATTTGTTTTCAATGTATTCTTTACGGAAGTTGACAAAATGTGCATAATTTCTGAAATAAAAAGTTTATTATTAAACATAAAAGTATTCTTACTATTCGGTGTCACTTCCAAAGTCACATTCAGTCTTGCGCTTCTATCGGAGCTGGCAATAGTTGCTGTACCAGTTATAGTTCTCAAAGTTGCATTGATAACTTCACTGTTGACTACATCTACGACCTCTCCTCGAACAGTATATTCTGCCCTGTTGCACTTCCCTTGAGTATTTGGTGTGTAATAAGACGAGATTTGATGCCACACCCCTTTAAACTAAAATTCAATAATAAAAATAAAAATAAAACCATTTAATTAAATTCTAAACATTTTTATGAAACATATTCTTAAGAATCGTGCTACAAGAATCATTTGAATCGTTCGGTTGTTTACGAATTGACGTTCAACAACTTCTCGAAGTGGGATGGTCGAGTCGGAGAAAAGAATAGATTATAAAAGAAGTGATGTCACATGCGCACGATCAATTTTCCTTTATAGAACTTTGAAGTTATACAGTTTATGTAGAGTCAGTGAAGAAAATTATAGTGAATCAAATCATTATTGGAGTGTTCAATTTCCTACCCTAAGAAGCTTGCCCTAGCTCTTACACTATTATAACACTCATAAGATCAGGTTGTGTTTTTGGATGGACTATAAATTTAGGCTTAAGTCACGTTCACAGATACACTCAGCTCTGTCGGAGAGAGAAGTGGGCAGCGTATGTAAATAATTCAATTACGTAGTGAAAGAGAATAGCCGAATGTGAACATTCACTCACTGACGATATTATAGCAAGTGGTATTACGACCATTTTTTTAGCAGCGTCGGGAGCGGTGGCAAGGACTGAGTGTTTGGACAATTCCCACAAGTTTTTTTATAATTTGTAGCCTATGTTTTATTCTGATGTATAAGCTATATTATTGTAAAGTTTCAAATAAAATCCATTCAGTAGTTTTTATGTGAAATAGTAATAAACATCCATCCATACTTACAAACTTTCGCGTTTATAATATTAGTAGGATTTACAAAGTATCGCTGTAGCTGTTTTGATATTATTCGTTGATACAATTTATTCTATGGCATCTCATTATTACACCATTTTTGTCCATTCATCCAAACACAACAATAAAAAATAAGAAAATGTTTATTATGGAACATAAGATACAGGTATCACTTATTCTACGTCGTTAAATTTAAATCAGTAGGCATCCCTACTCATGGGCAAAAAGACAGAGGATGTAGCCTTATCTTAGTAACGAAAAAAAGTTGACAATTGCAATAATTAAAATGTTATCTTACTCGTTCGGGATTAAACTCTTGCACAACTCGTAAATTTGGATCGCACTGTCCAGATAATATAATAGGTTGTCCAGGCGGAATGACAGGCAGAACATGACAGGCGGTGTCAGAGTTATCTACGACTGTCAAATCCGCGCTTGTCAGTTGGAAGTTACGGTACAATGTAGAGTTCATGAGATTGATGATCATCTCTGTTGGGAATGAGGTATCCCTTCCAAGTTGCCAGATGTACACTGTAAATTTGGAAATAGCTTTAGTTATGTTTCTTTATAACTTTTAATATATCGCTAGAGTTGATGAGAAAGGTGATGACTTCATCAACATAACAATATGGAGCCCTATAAGTTAACAAGAATCCAACAGCTCCTAAGGTATCTAGAGCGCCAATAGCTGGTTAGGGATTTTCAGTTCGTGGTCGCCATAACATATAGATGTGCAGAGGCAATTGAGTCCAAGGTGGAGGCGTAGTGGTTAGTTTAGATAAAACGATCGGGTATCGTATAAAGCTTCTCTCGAAACTTCTAAAGAGAAATTATGCAAATGGAATTCCAGGTTTCTGGCCGATTGGAGCATCAAGGTTGGGGTCCCACAAGGTTGTGCCCTATCCCCGAACTTGTTTCTTCTCCATATCAATGATATGTTGCAACTTTGCTACATTTATTGTAATGCGGATGACTATATTGGGTATACTCTTTACACTCGCCAGGCAGGTATTTATTGGGCAGTTGTCGATGATTGACCGGAACAAACAGTTGCCCTCTAAAGTATTTACAAACCAATTCCTCCTTCAAGAATAGAGGTTAACAATTCATAAAAAGCCTGCAACGCGAGCGCTCTAGCATTGTGTGTCCATGGGCGGTAGTATCACTTAACATCAGACGAGCTTTCTGCCCGTTTACCACACAAAATAAAGGAGTACTAACTGAAGTTTTTAGTTTTCGCCAGATTTATAACTTCTACATTTACGACAAACTAAAAACTGTCGTTATAAACTCGGAATTTTGCGCCATTTTCTTTTGCTCATCAAATTAAATAAGTATTGCTATTGTAACATAATTGTGAGTTTCTTTTAATTATTTTGTTTTAATTAATAGAATAAACTAGAAAATGATAGAGCTATATTTTAATCTGTCGTCAAAAAAGATAAATTATTATACGTAGATAACATACAATAGGGAAACTTTATCATAATCAGCTATTAGTGATACATAAATGAAAATGATAAATATATTACATAGTAATCCAGATATTGCGGGAAATCACTGTATTTGTTAAAACAATCAACAAATTAAGCCTCTAATCTAAGGGCCGAATACATATATATATTTTGAAGGGCAAAGATTATTTTTAAATTGAGTACCATTAAATATCAATTAAGCTGTTTATGGCAGTTGCATTATGAAGGTTAATGAAAAGTAAAAATATTTTCAAAAGCGTTCCTTGAAATTGTTTATAAAAAAATGGACTGACCATAAATGGAACACGCCAAGTCCACCTTGTGTAGCAAATAGAACGTATTGTTGAATAATTGCTTGCATACACAAATTAGGTTTTAATAATCTTCTATAATATAAAAATGAATCGCAAAATGTGTTGGTAAGCGCATAACTCAACAACGCCTGGACCAATTTGGCCAATTCTTTTTTTATAATATTCCTTGAAGTACGAGGATGGTTCTTACGGAGAGAAAAATTAAAAAAAATTGAGTGAAAAAGTCTAAAAACAATACTTTTCTATAATCCCATACAAAATATTCGTAATAATACTTAAAAGTCAATTTGAACTTTAATACCATATCATAAAAGTGTTAGTGGAGGGGTTCCGGGAAGGTAAATTTTTATTTTTTGACATAATGTATTTGTTGTATTATCAACTTTCTTTTTTTTATCTTACTAGCTAGACCGGTGTCCCGAATAGCAGAATAAGTATTTAAAAAAAATAAAGAATCGACTGTTAGGCGGTACGATGTTCGTCAGGCCAGCTAGTACTGAATATAAAAATATAATATATTTAATATATAAGTAATATACATGAAGCTTCTCTATGCTAATTTAAGTAAAAGCTAAAGTTAGAGGAATGTGAATTAGATTTAAGTTACTTACCATTTCTTTGCGTATTTCCTACGTTTTCACAGCTGAATGCAAGTGCGTAATTTTCATAATTTGTGATCATTATTTGAAAAATTATTGCTGAAAAAATAACGAACTAATTATTTTGCGTAAAAATATTTGTAATATAGCTGAATAAGTATTTTCTTTTGAGGGAAAGTTCTTATGTAGATACAATTAATGTAAACTCAAGAATTAATAATATAAGGAAGGACGTTCTACTTGGGGTTTGCCGCTCGTGGCGTACAGCCTGGAGATCCTGGATACGATTTCGTCGAAACATTCATTTTGAATGGACAAAAAATAGTAATTTTAATATTTTGGTTCAAAACCTGATCACACAATATAATCAAGCGCAGAAATGTCTACCTTACCGTACTTTATTAAGCGGTTATTTTAAGTAGGTACATAATACGAGCGTTAAAAATGTCTAGTTAATTGTTAAACATATCTTTATTCCACATTTCAAATGAAACTTTAACCTGGATTATTGATAGTCAAAAATAACTCATAAAAGTTACTCTTTATCAAACTGTCAGTAACAGAGATAACGTCAAAAGTATCAATATATAATAATATAATATCCAGATAAAGGTTATTAAAAACATCCTATCTATAGTTTAGAGTAGCTCTTCTGCAAAACGTATATAATCATAACTTACGTTCAGCACTAGAGTCTAAGTCAATGTTGAGCTTCGCTGTTCCATTTATCGCAGTGATCACTCCACTGTTTTCCCTAAGGAAGTTTTCGTGCACAGATCTTAACTTTACATCTAACGTGCTAGTTTCAGAAGTAATGGCACCACGTGATGTGATTTCCAAAGTTGAACAGTCCCCTGACTGTAGAGGACTGGGAGTACCTTCGATATTGTGCCATTTCCCTGTGAACTGAAAATAAAGAATTTAAAACACATCTATACTACGCCATAAATATTAAAACTGTTTATTGATGCATTGATTTCATTTCTTTACATCATCACTTCAAAAAGTGAAACTTCCTTAGGCGCATGAAGGTAAAAATTTTACGGATGAAACGCAATAATAATAATATTAGCGTCACGAAGATGTGCAGCGTTTTTGTCGAAGAAAAGGGAAAGAGCGATTGAGATCTATTGAGAGAGAGAGTGAGAAGGGCGAATTACCTTATAGAAATTATATTTCTAAAATTAAAATTTCGTAAAGAGAGACGTATATAACTATTACATAGATAAACAATATATTCGAAACAGATAACATAAGTAAGTACATTAATAGACAAACAGAGAAAAAATTAAAAAAATTAAACTGAAATTTTGCATTAAACAAACGACAATTAATACTTAATACTCTTTAAAAATAATTAATACTGCTAAACAAAGTCAAATATTTCCTCACATCCTCTCTGATGAGGTGGAAAATATCAACATCGGCATAATTAGTGTCATATATTAATTTAAGACTTATATATACGAAAAAAGTATTTTACACGCATGCATTGATGTGATATATAATGACTCAAACTACTTCCTGGGTGTGGTTTAATCATTTATTATGTCGTATCTTTATAGCACGTCTTAGTCTTGATTATTATTTAGTTCATTGTATTATTAGAACCAATTCAAGGCCAGTAATAAAACAACATTCCTTTCCGAAAGATAAGTACCGTTCATTCGGATTGAAAAGGCTTTTTAAATAAGAAATTTTATTTTTTAAATTTGTCTCATGGTCTATATACACATGAAAAATATGAGGCATCGCCACAAAAAAAAAAATTTTTATGCATTATAAGTATTTTTGTCCCTCAAATTTGTTAAATTTCTTAGAGGATGTACTCCGTAACAATGCGGCTTTTAATAATGAAAACAATCTCATATTACAATACTAATTAAAATTAATATACACGTTACGGATAATGACTCTGTTGGCTTAATCGACATTTTTTAATTTATCTTTTTGGTAATTTTATATAATTCATTCATTATAAGTAAACAAGATATTATGTAACAAATTGTTATTTATTTGTTCACAACTTAAATTATAGCAAAATATATAGCTCACGAGCTAAAACCGCAGAAAATTGATAAACAATTTCTAAAAACGGTTAAAGCTAGATCTCGCTATTTACCTAAGAATTTAGTGCCAAGCTTTCTCGTAGTTATTAGCTTCAGTTATTTAAATTACAAAGTAATTCGCTAATTAATATTCCATTTTGGAAGCCAGTAGCGAATTGCAAAATCTAGTTAGGTATGAAAATATTTCCTTGGTTAACTAGGTAGTTAAACTAAACCGGTCTGTCGCGTTTATCTTTAACTAGTATATGATATGGGTTTGGATTACTTTTTAGATATAAGAAAACAAGTATAAAGAAAACAAATTATGCTTTTGCTTATTTATACAAAAAAAACTCCCTAGTTTAAAAAAATAGGGTTGGCCACCTTGTGCATGGAAAAAGGCCCCCCATTGCTGTGGCCAATGCAAATTTATTCGTGTTTCTTCTTTATTGGTACAATCAATAAATAAAATCACAAATTTACACTTCATGACGTGGTTGGTACGAAGTGTTAATATTTCATGAAATGGCCATAACATGTCAATGTCATACCCTTACGCATTACTGAATTGTCAAACTAGAGTGATGACGTAAAAATTAATAATTATACTGAAACATTAACTTATTTTCTATAATATAAAAATGAATCGCAAAATGTGTTGGAAAGCGCATAACTCAACAACGCCTGGACCAATTTGGCCAATTCTTTTTTTTATAATATTCCTTTTAAAAACGAGGATGGTTCTTACGGAAAGAAAAATTTTAAAAAAATCGAGTGAAAAAGTCTAAAAACAACACTTTTCTATATTCCCATACAAAAGATTCGTAATAATACTTAAAAGTCAATTTGAACTTTAATACCATACCATAAAGTTTAAGTGTTAGTGGAGGGGTTCCGGGAAGGTAAATTTTATTTTTTTGACAATGTATTTGTTGTCTTATCAACTTTTTTTTTTTATCTTATTAGCTAGACCGGTGTCCCGAATAGCAGAATAAGTATTAAAAAAAAATAAAGAATCGACTGTTAGGCGGTACGATGTTCGCCAGGCTAGCTAGTTGTTTATAAAACTTGGTGAGCCTTCTGTACGTCGTTCTTCGTGTCGGACTGATGTCATTGATTTTTAGGTCTACAACATGCCATTTTAGTCACTGGGTAGGCAGCTCCAAAAATTTATTCACGTTCAAGGGTTGTCACACGCTGTTTTTGTTCGTTATAGTCATGTATGTATGTATGTCATTTTAATTAGTTGTAACATTCTATTCAAAAATATTACGTGATTTAAACGTACAAACATACAGATTCTATTCCGTTACTATACAGTATAAGTATTTTTAAGTGCAGTTCTAGACATAGGGAATGCAACAACCTGATCTAGCCGATCCCTCATTGGTTAATATGAAATATGAAGGGGATATATTACTAGATGTTATTTTATTTTTAATTACCGGTTTTTTATACACCTACATTTATTATGGCGAAGGATATAATCAATTTATGTACATAAGAATGTGTATTTTTTGTTATTATAGAGTGACGTTCTTATATTAAATCAAGCAAACAAAAATAAAGCATCATAATTTACATAAATAATTAAAACAAAAGTGTATTAATCTTTAATTGATGGATTTATTAAAGATAGTTTAAGTCTAGTTCAACTCTAAATCTCCTCAAGTCTCGCTTAGGGAATAGGCTAGGTATCCAAAAGCGTCTTTCGCGCAGTGTTGGTCTGGTGGGTCGCGTTTCGTATTAATATTACCATAAGTCGAAAAAAATCTGTTATCTTTTCATTATTTTTTGACACATGTTTATTGGAAAATAGCGGGATTTCCGCTCATTTGAACTACTATGTCATATGTCAAACTACGAACTATATTGTCAATAAGTACAAAGTATTGAAAGTCCAGGCCCCCCCTCAACAAAAAAAACTTTTTGGGGGGGGAGAAAGAAAAAAAAAAAAAAATAATGAAAATTTTAAATTTTTTGGGGCCGTTTTTTTTAAAAAAAATTTTTGGTTTTTTTCTTAAACAACTTCTAAGGAATTTTGATTTTGGAACCTGTTATATATACACTTTGTGGAGTTGATGTCATTTGTTTTTTTTGACACATAGACAAACACGATCTTTATTTGTTACTTAGACTGTATACCCATACGTGAAAAATGAATTGCATTTTGTCATATGAAAGTCTCGTCTCGTTCCTGAATCTCAACCTGAATCCTTCCCTAAAACTTTAAGCTCGTCCTTTCATTAACAACTAAAATACCACCTCCATATAGACATGTTTTGAATTTTTTCGAAAACAGGTATTGCAAAGTGTTGACAAATAATATTATTATTATATTTAAAACCAATAACATATTAAATGTGAAATATATTTAATTAATAGTGTGTTAGCCCAGCAGGGTATACATTAGTAAGTAAAATAAATAAATCGTATTTCATAAAGCAGGAAATGTAAATTTGGAATACTTTGAAATGGTTTTTGCTGTGTTTAGTCGTACATTCAGAACGGAATAAAATTAATCTTAGGAGATGAGTAGGCTAGTAATATTGTAAATTGTCTACATGTGTGTTGTTTTAGGAGAGGATTCTGCGTCAATTACTGGTCGATGATATTTTTGGTAGTTTTAATACCCTGAAGAAGATTCGTTCGTCTTTTGTTATTCACAATTTACGATTTATTCTCCATTAGTAAATGAATAGTTTTGCCACCTATAAACATTATCGATTTTTTATACGACTAGAGAGCGCGTTGCAGGTATTTTAACAGAGACGGTTGGGGCAGAATATTAAAAAGGTACTTATTTAAGGAGTTTATTGATAAGGAATTTAGATTAATATTTTACCCAGTTACAAAGACAGTTATTGTAAGACCAATTATTTTATGTTGTTTTGAATTAGATAAAAGTGTTTAGATAAAATAGACATTAACCTTTATTTTTTGTTTCCAAATTCTAGATAAACCAGTAAGTTACAGTATATTTCCATAAAAAACAACAAGCGACTGCGCTATCAGACTTCAAATTAGCTTATGTAATAACGAAAAAAACTACCACTATGTTTTAGATCAGTGTAGGCCTGAGCGTGTAACTCTTTATCTCTAAGATCATGCGTTCGAATTATGTTTTTTGGACCAATGGACTTTTCTTGTATGTGTGCATTAAACACTTGCTTTTACGGTGAAGAACACGTGTGGAAACCCACATTCCTTAGATACAAAAATTTGCTTCTTAAAGTAAACAAGAAACAAATACAGAAATATAAGTCCGTGTAGCTTTTATATAGACATATTTGTTCAACAAAATATTAATTTGCGTCGCGATTTTTGATAACGATTGAAATTATATCTTGGATCTAAGATAATTTTTAATTTCACGTTATCGTTTCTAAAGTTTAGAGTTTCCGAGAAATTATTTATTTAGCTATATGTTTTATTGACATCATTTAAAAAAAAACATGATAAAGGCAATTACAGAGGCTGCGTTTTATAGGCGGGTAATGCAAATACAAAAGTAAGCCTTTGAAGCTGGTCTTGATTAGAAGATTTCGCCTTAAAGAGGTAAATCCGTCTACTGGTACACTTTTAACTAAAGTATATTTTCAGAAAAATGCATAATTTTTTTTATAAGAATCGGTCGAGCCGTTTCGGAGGAATATGAGAACGAACATTGTGACACGAGAATTTTATATATATAGAGATATAGCTATTAGCGCCACAGAGCAATTCTTCAAACCGTAATTTTATTGAATGAAGAAAGTTTATTATTAAATCCGCGATTTAATTGAAATTGATATGAACATCATTCGTATGGGCGGTAGTTTTATCTGATTTATTTATTTATAATTTCTAAAACAACGTGTTTGCATAATTACAAGCTAGTATCTTATAAAAAATGGTCTGATTGTAAGAATAAACGTTTTTGCTTTTAAAGCAAGCCAATAGGTAGATTGATTTGTAAGGTTGTACCAGATGACCAATGGCTGCGACATAGAAAGAATATTCTAACCACCACACAATCTCTTGAGGATCACAAGAGATATTTTATTTCGGATAACGTAAAACAAAAAACTTACAGCTTCAAGATTAAAGTCAGCTTCTAATTGGATATTCGCATCGCACTGTCCGTCTTGTAAAAATTGGGCACTGCTTAAACCTATAAGTACACTTAACAATAAAAACATTTTTAACATCATGAGATCATTATTGCACTGCACATGAACTACGCGAAATGATAATATATTTTTATTGATCATATATATAATAGAATCTTATCAATAGATTAAAGGTACCGATTATTTAAAAATACTGTTATCTTGAGACCGACTTTTTGGAGGAAATATTCAGTTTTCTACGTTAAAAACCATTTATGTGTAGTTAAGTGCTGGCATTGACTAGATAAGTTTATCGTGGTCATCAGATATCGACAGTTTAACCGTGGGTGTGAGATTATCAAGGACATGTAACAAATATTGACTCAAATCAAAGTTCTTTTGAATCCGGATACGAAGATTGCGGTATCGCAAAATAACCTTTTTAAAATCAAAAAAGATTAACTTACTAAGTTTTTAAAGACAAGGTAGGCAAGGTAGGTTATACCGTGGGCGAGTATTTAGACCATAAGTTTGACATTAATTACAAATAGCTTAGCTTATTATTGTGACATTGTATTGGTGTTATTATTGTATGACATAATAAAAATTAATATGACATTTGTTATGTACCACTTTCTTGAAAATAAATGATTTATTATTATTATTATTTTATTTATTATATGTCTCTATTTACTTATATATAAGGAAGAGTAAAATAATATAAGAATTGGATTGGTTTATACAATATTATCATATATCATCTTTCGAGGCAAATTTTATGTTGATATCCTAAATGTTTATCAAACAATCTTTTTCTGGATACAAGATGATTGACATCCTAATAATTCAATTTGGTCCTCGGACAGCGAAGCTGTGCACGACACAGAGAACAGAAATTAATTAAGGCTCAAATTGTCTCTTACATTTTTGCTCAGTGATGCATTTATTGGACCCTGTTTATTGGTACAATGCAAGTGTAGGTTGAGATTCATGAATAAATGATTTTGATTTCATACATTCTACCTACTAGAATGACTAGTGTATAGTACCTGTCAGCCGAGGTCTTCTGAAGTATTTACATTATCGTACACAGTATATTATGATCATGACACTTCGGAAACAATTTAGATATCAATCTTAATTCTATTATCTAGTTGATAAAAGGGCCTGGGACTAGTACTAGACAGGCTGCTTCTATTAATTTGCGATATTTGTTTTAAAATAAGTGTTGTATGATTTGCTATTTTAAAAGAGTACCGAGAGTTTTTTACCCCGGCTTTTTCTCTCGGCCTATACACCCTCTGTCTTCTTTGACGACGAGTAGGGATGCCTACAGATTCAAATTTAATGACGTGGAATAAGTGATACCTGTATCTTATGTTCCATAATAAGCATATTTTATTTTATTTTATTTACATGTTCACTTTTGATTGCTGTTGATATATGACCAACGTCTAAACTTATACAAGGTAATTTCGACATTTGCCGAGACAAACTGCAGCGCCGCTTTTATTTTTAAGTATCAATATACATTTTAAGCTATTATATACTATAGTAATAGAAAAACTTAACGTTAACGTAACGAAATATTCAAATTATTTGTCTACATAAAATATTGTCTAAATTGAATAAATTTTGGTCGACGCCGACGCCGCAAAAACGACGTTTTGCGCGGGATTATGCTTACGTCACCAGACACGTCCTATGTTTGTTTACTATAGCCGAATTAGTTACTACATACATTAATTGTTATGCAGATCGTAGAAGAATTTAAAAATCTTATAAGTGTATTGTACCAAAGTACAAAACCACTATGAGAAGCGCACTCTATAACGGGTTTTATCAAAAACGAAGGTGATGAAGGATCTCCAACTCTATCATGTTTATACTGATGTTTAGATTATTTTAACATAGGCATTCTATTTCAATATACAGCTTAGTGTGTTATTAGAAATTGGTGTGTGTAATGTTAGGAATCTTTAGAAGTATAGAAAGATAATCAAGTGGGCATTTTAACATAGGAATTGATTTACTTAAATACCTATGTTTAAGCTATGAAGGTAGTATGTATATATTATTCAGAGTAACAGGCATAGATAATTTTCCAGAAAATAACGTACCTATTATACAATATTTAAACAATTACATTATACACAAAAGCCCATGAATACACATTCAAACATAAACGCAAAACGTAAGATGCATCGATGAGATTGAGATGCATTATTATATGTTCGATATAAAAGATCATTAACAAAGCTGTCATTCTATCTTATAAAAGATGCTGGAGTTATAATCCGAATGTATACGATACATTACTGAGTTACGTAAAAAGTTTGTATAAGACCGAGGAATTTGAAATAGTTGCGTTTGCCTTGTTTCGTATGAAGAAGGGGTCTGAAATAGGAAAAGCGACATCCATAAGTCAGTCAATTAAACCGTTGCAAGTAGCGTGTAAAAACATCAGGTCGTATTATATAACATTTTTTATTTTTTTATGTTTGCGAGTAAAAGTAATTTTACTACATTTTCCAATATTTATGGATAGTTTGTTTTTTTTTTTGTATAAGTATGTTGAATTTGAACGTAGTAGAACGTTAGTTTTTAGAATTTTTTTTTTGTTATATGCAAACAAGATATTCTAAATATTCTAAATACTTGAAGCAATATTTTATATCATATAGATAAGCGTTAAACAACAAAGCACCCAGTATAGACCCTTGAGGTACACCGGATGTCACATTTATAAATGTTCTCTTTTATCTTTCATTTTGGATGGAAAACTACAGAATATATTAAGCGACTGATTAAATATATTTGTTAAAGGTTTGAGAGTTGTCTATAGCATGTTTGTAGAACAATTGAAGGTATTCCATCACTTTTTGAGTCTGATGCGATTGACATTTAGAGTTTCCACTCTACAGATTTCATCTTCGGTCAGTATTACTTGGTTGCATGGATCATCGGTTTTAAGATTTGAAAAATGTAATTATCATCCGGGAGTTGAAAAACGCTATTAAAAAACCTGTTGAACCCTTCGCAAGCAACTTCATCTCCAAGACTCGGTTATTAAAGTAATATCAAAAGTACAAGTTAGAAGATTTTGATAAAATTCATTAGTTTTTGTACGCAAATCACGCACATTTTGATAAAATAAGGTTAAAGTTTTGAAAAACATTATACATAGAGATTATACCAACTTAAGTGTACACTTTTAAATTTGTAATTTGACTTTGATATTAATGTGCTAGAATTATATTTGAATTTACCATGTAATTTTAGGTTTTGAAATGAATAGTTGAAGTAAAAATCTACTAAAATTGTGAATTTATGCATCGTTAGTATCATAACAAAATATTGGCCCGATATTATTTGGAACCGATCAAATACGTTAGATCGACCATAGGTTTAAAAAAAAAGTAGGTTTAACAAATTATTTTCGTCAAATCCCGTACGGAATTTATGGTGATAGCAGGGGACTCTTTGTTTAAATATAAATAACATTATAATGATGTAGGGATTAAAAACTGTATCGCTATTAGTTATTAATAGTATATTTATAATTAGTACTACGCAGCCTTGCGATTCTGTAACTCACTTTTCGAACTCACACAGCGGTTTTCGCATCGGCGGTCGCTCTCTAATCAGTCGTGAAGCAGTCATTTTATGATTTGGCATTCTGATAAACAATAAACTACAAGCTACCTTATGTGAGTTACAGAATCGCAAGGCATGTTTTAAAGCTTCAAGTAGGTATGATAGTTATATATTAAAATACCGTAAGGTAAACAACGTGAATAATCTTATATTTTCAATCAGTAATTAAAATAGATGAAAGATCTATTCCGTCGTCTTATCGAAAGCGATAATATTTCAGAATATTATCTATTAAGTCGTAATTGTTTAAAGATGTAGGTTCAGCACAAATAAGAGGCTTATGGATTTATAAAACCTTACTAAGACTTAATAAATGAATAATACATTCCGGAGCTATTGAACAATATTTTCTAATATTAATTAGTATTGATTTAAATATTCAATTTAAATCACTTCTGATTATAATTCAGACGCACATATAAAATTCGCACTTGTATAATGAAAATAACTAGGAATGTTTCATAACCTTTTAACTAAGTAACAATAGGTCTTTGTGAAAAAGCATTGCTAAATTTCTTTGAAAAAATAGTTAAAACTCCTATATTTGTTAAAAGGTCATTATGGTCATTCAATATTCTATTTATTTTTACTTGTAGATTGTCTTATTCCCATCTCGCTCGCACCCGGCTGGTTTAAAAAGAATTCGTTAGTGGGCAACTTCATACTGATAATTCTGTGTAACGGTGCGCGCGCATCGTAAAATTTCACTCTCATCAATTTTTCATAACGCGCCTAAAGAAGTATAACTTAAAAACATTTCACGTAAAGGCAGCCGCTTGCAGTCCGCGGCTTCTCTATTTTCGAGGGCCTAGTCATACTTCGAGGGTCGTCGTCGCGATTAACAAATAAAGGCGCTTATTTCATAGACACTATCAATATCAATATTTTTGAAAAAAAAAGGATTATATTTTGCGATTCCAGCAGGCCAAATGTTGACTATAATAATCTGAACCGAAATATAATATCGATATATTATACGATCATATAATATAATCCTATCTTCGTTCTCAAAAATATATTTTATATTACAGACATATACCTTGCAACGTGATTAAGATTAGGTTATGTATTATCAGAAGAATGTCGCTTCGGCCTATTGATAAACATACACGCACAGACATGTGATAAAATTCAAAATGTAGTGAGATTTCTGACCATCTATGTATAATAATTTTAGGTATAAATTGTTTGAAATTGTCTTATTATTCTAACGATAGCCTGTGGGTTGAGGCAAACCTCTAGTCTAACCTGTGTCTATTTTTGTTTTAGCTATTTATTTTAATACTCTCAAGTAATATTAAAAAGTCAGTTAGACGATTTTGTGATTGCTTGATTGTGTCCTGGAAGTAAACTAAGACTTTTTATATTTTGCGATATAAAATAAATATAATTTACAACCGTCCAATACATTTATACAAAACGTATTTCAGTTC